AATGGATTACCGCAAGCTTAGTTCATAAGCTGACATGTTGAGCTCTTTGTAGGGGCTGAAAAACACGCTTGTGTGTGCCACAATACGTTGGTAGCGCGTATTTCGCATTAGAGCGCAGTCATTCACTTTAATTTCATTTTCAGTTTGTATCAAATGATTTTCATTTACAGCAGCATCGCGCTCTGCTCCATCTTACCCACCTGTGCCCTTTCTTCCTGAACTACCAGGGGCAAGCGCACAAGCTGTGCAGATAGTAGTCAACTTCGGTATGGGTGAGCGAATATTTGATACGAACACCATTAACTATGGTTCCTAACGGTTTCGGTGTCATCCTCAATTTATAATTTATCATCATATCATAAAATCCACAACAAATTCCGTTAAACAAATAAAACTCTCCCAAAAATACATTAGGTGTATCAATGCGCCACTCATCGAAGCTTACAAGCGCAAGCGAACACACGTATTTGTGCACACACTCACGCCGAAGCAGCAACAATAGCAAAACAGTACACTTAGGTGGTAGCGACTTTTCACGATCACTACCCACACATAGGTGAGCAAACAAAAAAAGCATTCCTATATATGTATGTGTAAATGTGTTTAGTTGCCTAGTCTATTGTATTAAAGCTAAAAAAAATTAGTTCATACATATACTAAAGTTGAAAAAAAAACTATATATTTTTGCAATGTTTAGTTAAATTTCAAATAAACAAGTAATCAGAGTAGTAGACATGTTTTTTTTATTGTAATTTGTATGGCTCTCCAGAGTAAATATGCTTAAACAGACAATAATCGTAGCAGTTAGGTGCTCATTTTATTTATTTTGTATTCATATATCACGTGTAAATGTTAGTGTAATCTCTGGCGAACGAGCGCTACCACTGAACCGATAACTCTTGAGTTGAGAGCATTTTGAACTCTTTACCACAATACTTCCGTTCTACAATGCATGCTTATATTTGTAATTGAAAGCTATAAAATATTTATCCCACTTCTAATTCTCACTAGTATCCTTATTCCTTAACAGGCACGTAATTACATAATTGCGAAACACATTATTTAAATATATAGATCGGTTTTTTTTAATAATTAACTTGAAATGGCGCTTTTTAACGGCTAAAGTGACTAATTCTCTTACTAAGTCTATCATCTATACATCTATATTTAAATCCTTGGTAAACATTTCCTGTTTCGGAATACAACAATTTACATTCCACGGATATTAGTATACATGTAAACAGACAATGGAATCCAGTCCCTTTAGTCTAAAATAACTTCGCTTCACACAATTAATTTGCCAACACTTAAAAATTTCCTCCCTCTACAGTTATCGGCAGCACGTATATCCATATTCCCTTTTCCTCTGTTTCCGTTGGCTTTACTTCTACAAATTGGCAACGCCATTTCTAAATGGCGTCTGCTTGATTTTTCCACACTACAATAACCATTATTTCAGTACAATATACGCGAAAATGCATATTTTTACACTGAACTATTATAACACGAATCAAATATAAATATTCCCTCTTGGATGGCTTGTTAATTGCTAATTAAATCAAGTTTATTTTATGAAATTTACAACGCACACTCAGCACTATGTTGACATGTTGGTAACGGAAATGATTGATTGATTGATTCATTCAACCCTGTGCTGTTAATCCTACCGGGCTAATAATTGTTGTAATATGACGACGTTACATTTTGCATAGTTTTTTTATGTAGAGCATGATTTTTTTTTAAAATTCCAAACCGAGGAAATAAAGCTACCTCCACCAACAGCTCACTCAGCTAGCTAAAGAGGTATTTCGTCGTGGAGAGTGACTACTACGAATATATACTTGTAGTATTTTTGTAAATAATAAGGAATCCATACAGCCATAGAGCTACGATTACATTGACAGTGGGGCAATAACAAGTCCATAAGAGAATAGGAAGAGTGTGAAGCACTTAAAATTTAGCTTACACCAACACTATTTAAAAACTTATTTTAACGTCGAGCTACTCTTTAAAGACATACATAAATAAAAGTGTGCACCGAAGCCGATTAGTGGAGATGATCGTAAAATTAGCAAATAAGCTGTAACAGTGAATTAAATGTATTGTTTTGTGTTGTCACCTTAATGATTTGTTTGTTGGCGCTGCTACTGAGCGAAGTGCGATTTAAGCAAAACTTGAGATGACTAAAAAAATTGGGTTTTAAAAATAATAATAAATGCATAATTCACTAAATATGTATGATGTTTGCATATGAGAGCGTGCAGAATATACAATAACTGTTTGTATCATATGAGAATTGAAAACCATGAAATGTCATACAAAAATAGATAAGTTCTTCAAAGTAAGCACAAATAACTATGAAAATAATTAAAATTGAGTGCAATACAGTAAAATTAAAATATCATATAAATCTTCATTTTATGATAAAAAGAGCATAAAATAGTTGAAATTACACTCCATAATTGAATAAAAATCAGCAAAGTATAAATAAATAATTTAAATTAGTGTTAACACTGAAATAACAAAATTTCCCATTTTTTAGCTTTGGAAAATATTTATTTCACTGAAGGAAAAAATATATATGTATGTTTGTATGTATATCATACAACCAATATAATTGATAGTTGGCTTAAGATAAAGTAAAATAACACGTCATTAGCCTAAAGGCGCAGTAAAATATTGTTGATATTGCGGATATGCAGAAATGTCGCCATATTTGGTTATCCTTCACGAGTGCCTGTGACGTGCAAACTCACAAAAGTATGTACATATGTATGCATAGAACACCCTAGGAGTGGTGATGACTAGCCCGTCGAATGGCACCTGTCATCAAAGACATTTATTTCGAATTGTCAAATTTTATTGATACCTAAAAGTTATCTGGAAAATAAAAGAAAAAAACGTCGACCAAACCTGCAAATAGCACCATCATCAGCCAACATACAGAGTAACAAATGTATATATATAAAAGCACTCGCAGTTGAATTTTCAAAATAGATAACTGTTTATTTCCACTTGTCAAAAATTCACAATTTATTTGCATTAGATGCGTGCAATATTTAAATTGATTTTAATTGATGACTGCTGATCGATGCGATAATGAATTAAGTGTACATAAGTACACACTATGCGGTTGTGTGTGTGTATATGTTAATACAGGTACTACAGGTATAGCGGTCCGTATGCCTTTCATTTTCATTTCCTCCAAGACCTTATAATGAAGTACACACTTATTGCGTAGACAAATTGAAATGGCACATGCGACAGACATACTCATATGTACATACATGCATACCTAAGTGCGTAGGTATGTTAACAAATTAATTTAAATTAAGGCATAATTTGTATGCAAAGTTTTGCCGACAAAGATTTCTGCAGATTAGTTACAGCCATTAAACAATTTTGACTTCACTTTACAAAAAATATATTAAAGGAAGTGCTCTCATGATTTATGTATGTTTTATAGTTGAAAATATGCTTAAATACATATATTTGTAAGCATTTATTTACAAATCTGCCGTTTACTACAGGCTAAAAAAAAATTAATAAATTTAAAAAAAAATCATATTGTTTTATGTGACGAAAATCGAAAGTTATGTTTGGTTGACTTAACTAAAAGTATTAATGTAAAATTAAAATATAAATAAAAGAATTTTCTGGAAAACTACTGCAATTATCTTTTCACATCGATGCATATTTCTATAAATTTGATTAAAGTGCTCTCTGTCGATTTATCGATTAAGAAGCTACTCTCATAAATAAAGCAGACATCTTCATGTTAATTTAGTGTTTTATTTACAAATAGGAGAAACTTCAATGCATTCAGTTTGTGTGATTTTATTTACATTCTGAGCAAGACGCACGTAATTTGTTTAAGTTTCTCTACGTCACTGTAAATTTATAGTACTCAATAGTTATATCACTGCATTGAAACTTGTTAATAACTCAAGCAAACAGTCAATGAAACCTAAAATTATTTTTAATAACATTGTGTTTGCTCATCGATCACCCAGCAACGTTTACACATACAAATTAACATAATGTAATTAACTGAATTTTTGACTCAAAATACTGCTACTACCATCAGTTTACCTAAACATCACTGCTGGGGTTATGCAGAGGGCGGCGCAGAAGAGAAAGATTATATTCGCAGGCAATGCGCCTGTTTCAAAGAAGTTGACATTTAGTTTTCGACATTTAAAAATGTGTTTAATACATGCATTTAAAAGCAGCTGAGGCTAGGCTGTGAATGACTGAAAGACCCCATCTGCCGTTCGGAGGTGGATTAGTAACAGGTGTAGGTGCCTCCTATTATAAGAAAATCGTGCACACCACAATTTGGTGTAAATGATCTAGCGAAAGTCGTAATGAAATTTGCCTAAAATACAATATTTTTATTTCCAAGTGAAATAAAAGCACCTCTTAATAAAATCATCAGCCGTTCGAAGGCTTTGGGTCCCTCCATTTGTTGGCTCGGCCGAAAATCGCTTCAGTGGTTACAAAGCGCCAACGTAGAAAAAGATAAAAAAAAATGGCGATCTACTCGAAAATAAGAATCATGAAATAAAACCGATAGTCCGTTCAACTGCATTCTCTCTTTATTTATATGTATTCAGAAGAGAAAGATAAACAAAAAAACTTAGCTTATGTTTTAATGATGCCCGAAATAGTGTGAGTGTATTAGTGAACCCATCAGCCGTTTATGCAGGAAGATCATCAACGCACATACATATCATAGTGATAAGAAAGCGACGTGTACATACATACATTGATAAATATATGTATGGAAAACGTGAGCTAGTAAAAAAGGGTGCTGATAAAAAAACCTTGGAAACTTTCCTGCATTGAATCGAAACATAGAAATAAATCAGAATTGTTTATCGAAAAGTTGCAATTTCACTCCTCCTTTATTTAACTTTTAATGAATCATTACTTTAAAATATTTGTATTAAAAACCAGTTCACTAAATACAAAAAAAAAATGAATTCAAACAAAAAATGAAGCAAATATTTCAAAAAGAACTCTTTGACGGCTTTTTAGTTTGCCAAAAAATGGTTAAAACAAATACTTCTTCGTACGCTTTTTTAAGCCTCCTCTTTGTTTTTGTCGTACTCGTCCAACTCGCTCAAATACGATTTTAAATACGTTTGCTCGGCATTATTTAGCATGTGATTCTGCAATGCATATGCCTGCTCACGACTACAAAGCGAGTACATATGAAAAGACAAAAAATTCTAATCAATAATCAAGCAAATATTATAAATTTTAAACAAATGCATTAATGACCTCAACAAAGGTATTTTTTCTAAATAACTAAATACTAATGTAAATTATGAGCACTACATTACTCACATATCGGGCAGAACATTATCACTGTTAACATTCAAATTATTTATGTAGTGATTTAGGTGCTTTAAAGCTGCCAAACGATTGCCGCCTGTGGTGGGTGACAGTACTTTTAGAGATTGTTGAAGAAGTTGCAAAACTTTGAGTACAACATTAACACAGAGTAGGGTGGGCGATAGAGCGGGCGGCAGCTGATCGATGAAAAACTTCTGTGCGTGAATAACGCGCTGAAAATACATAAAGAAAATAAAATAATTGGGTTAGGAGGGAATAAGAGTAGAATATACGAAATTTTTTTGGAGGTTTTCTTCAATGAAGTTACCGCTTTTATATGTATATATACAGTTACGATTTTCTCTTGAGCCTTTTGTGCAACTTTATATAAAATAATAAAAATACCGTGAATATTTCATTTACCTTTATATCATCGACTTTAGTTTCCGTCCTTTGTTTGTACAGATTATAGACCAGAACTGCAGAAATATGTGTAAACCCTTTGAAATGATGTTTGGTCAAAGCCTCCATGAAACTGAGAATTTCGCCATTAAATTTATGGGAGGACTATAGAAGAGTTTAGTGGTAAAAGCATTTTGGGTTATCAAAATGAAGCTTCCATTAACCAATCTTTCAATAAATTGTATGAAATTGGGTACTGAAAAATATTACTAATGGAATGTCAAATATAAAAAAAACTTTGGTTTTAAATATTAAAGGGAAGTTAAGCAATTAAAAAATAAAAAATAAATATTAATTTTGAGGATATCGGTATAAACTTCTAATGCTGTAATACATACATATATTTTATGTGCTTTTAATTAATTTGCAAAATTTTAAGAATCCCAAAAGTATGCAATACTTACTAAACCATAATGCAAGCAAACTTTCCAAGCCACAGCTGAAGGAATCACAATATCCGCAGAAGAGTGTAGTTGTGTAAATTTTGAGAACATGGACTTTTGATATTGTAAAATATATTTCGTATGCAATAACATATTTTCCTCGCTTACAATCGCGGACTTAGTGATAGATGTTGCCTTAAGACGCAAACAACCGAGCAAAAGAGCTTCTACCATTATGTGATAAGAGCGCAAATTAAGTGATAACTTATACATGCCGCTGGCATTGTCAAATATGTAATAGAGGTTGGCCAGGCAGATGAAATACTAATTAAGTGAGAAAATATTTTACTTAATCACAACAAATATTACATAAAAAATAAAATGATCTACCGTTTTCAAACGCAACATCTGTGCATCGGTTTTTGCCTCGGCGTTGGTCAGACGTCTAAGTAAATATCCTTCCAATATACGAATTTCTTGCGCAAGCCATGTTTGTGCAGTTTTTGTTAAATCTTCATTATAAGATAATTTAATGCAGCTATTGACCAGCAATTCGGTGGCGTGAACATCTAAAATTTCACTAATTAGAAAACTTCTTTAAGTAGTCAATAGATTAATGGGCATATTACCAATGAAAATTTCATGTTTTTGTGCCAGCTCACATATCTGTGATTTTTCTATTAAGCGCACATGCAACGTTTTAATTAACTGCTCCAAGGTATCAAAGACAACATAATCTACTTGCAACAAAACGTTGAGTTTTTGCAAAATACTATTATAAGCATTCATGTTTTTTACACTTGGCATCTATGAATATTAATAAATTAGTAAAAATTATTGCAATTACACAAAACAAAGTGCATGCCTTGCTTTCATCATCAAGCCGTTTTAGCGTACGCTCTAAATCTTCATATTTCTGGTAAATCTGTATAGCGCATATTTCCAGTTTGTCGAAATTCTTTGTTTCTTCGATACAGCATGTAAATTGTATGAACAAATTGAGTAAATAAGGATATATGAGAGTCGTATCTTTTGTAATCACGGATATAAAGTAGTCTTCAAACTCGAAAAGAAACTGAAAGTGTCAATGTGTTTGATTGTGCAAAAAGATTATGCATAAGTGTATATTTTAAAACAATCGTACCTCATTCATTGTTCCAGCGCTGTCACGCAGTAATTCCAGCTCAGTAGAGCTATACAACTGCAGAAGTATGCCTTTCACGCATTGACTCTCCAACTCCCGAAAGAGTGTGGGTGAAGTTTGAAAAACATATTTAATTTGTCTAGCGAATTTTTCTACAAATGAAGATTCAAATATTATGAAATATAATAATTTAAATTGAAATGATCTTCAAATATACCGGGCGCTTTCAGCATTTTTCGATAAACCACAATAGTGAATTGTGCTATAAAATATCGCATGACAAGTGGCACATCCGTAGCCTTCGTTAAATCAAAATATATATGCATCGATTGCATATATGTGAAATTAGACCAGAGAGCATTCACGTAACGTGGCAGCAAGTCGACGGATTTCTGTAATGGAAGAAAATAAACCACCATAAGAACATATATTTATCGTAACATTCATTTATGTCACAATTTCTTTTAAATAAAACTCCAATATATGTTTAAGTAACATGTCATCCCCGCTAGCCTTACGACGCGCCATTATAACATAAAGCTCGGCAGCCAAAAATGAAATATTCTCATCCGTATGCAACGTGAGCGCTAATATTGCCTCGAGAAAAACCAGTGAAAAACAATCCAAGTCCAGTAGTTTCCTGCAATTACATTGTTATTTACCAAGTAAAATAATATTAAAAAACTTACTCCTGCAGGTTGTTCAAAAAGTTTAAAATGGCCAATTTTAACCGTTTTGTTTTCTCCATTTTAAGTAATGTAAAGTAAATACGCAGCATAGGCATTTCAATGAGGAAACTAAAAAAGTTTCTGTAACTACTTGTTTCTTCTTCGGTTGAAATTTTGTTCATTATGCGTGTGAGACATTTAAGAGTATTGCATTGTGTGGCTTTTTGTTTCTATGGAGGAAATAAATCAATGCGTTGTTTGGAAAATAAACTAGAAATACCTCCACTTGAAAGGCTTTGTAAAAGAATTTTAATGCATCTTCATCAAAAGCTTTTGACGTTCCGAAGTTATCTTCCATAAAGTTGCCTAATACTTCAGCAATGTATGAGTGTGATTCCAAAAAGCTTTTTTAAAACACAAAATATTGTGCCAAAACTTAAGAAAAAAAAAATAAATATACATTATAGATACATACAATAAACCCTGCAGCGTACTATTCAGTAAAAGCGTACAAATTTCATCCAATATCTGATAATCACACACATATTTGTCCCTTATTTTATGAACACCTAAATAAAGGATAAAATCTGAAAAAGTAAAAACAATAAAATTTCTAAATTCTGAAAAGCCTTGCTCTATATACTTATGCGCGCTAATGGTTCCTCCAGATACTGTACTTGAATATTGCTATTCTGTTTTAGCAAATCCATATAGCAATTATACCAAATAGTTAACAATTGTATAAAACTTTCAACCGGAGTGGCTCCTGATTCAATGTCAACCATATTTTCGTGCTCTTCAAGGACTGTGTAGCATAGTTGTCTTAGGAAACGCTCGAAAACGCAAAAAAATATAGAGTTGCAATGAAATATGTAATGACTACATCCAGCCGACTCCCAATCAAAACCCGTACCGGTTTCCAACTGTTCCGTTGTTATTTTGGTATGTAAACCAATGGCTTTGTATAGTTCATTAACCAATTCTGTGGCCAATTCAATGCAAAGTTTACCTTGTTTCTGGGAATTATACAATAGCTGCTTCATACAACGCGCTGCTTCCACCTGATTCAAAGTTTTACAATGAGAATTGTTCAATTTGTAGCCTATTTCAATCAAAACAAAACTTACCTCTGGTGTTGCGCCACATTTCAGAGCTGCTACAAACTTCATTTTAGGAAATATTAAGTTTATTAAAAAAGTTAAATAAAATCAAAAAACTTCCAAGCAACCGTTACCGCTTGTATTAAAAGCAATTGCAGGGTCGCAAAATCGATAGCTTATGCGGGAAACTATACAATCGACATCGAAGTCTCGAAATTATCGAATCCCTTAACAGACTAGAAAATATAAAATTTATATTAACTTTATTATTTTTTTTATTACTGATTCGAAAATTACAGCCTCCTATTAGAATTTAAAATTTATATTCAACTTAGCAGCCTCGACAGGAAATACTAATAGATTTCCGGTATGCTTTTACCCCTTCCTCTCGAGAAATTCAATTGTCAATTCGGCATCACTCAAAAACAGCTGTAAACAGCTGATTATGATGACACGTTATTGCACATATGTTGCGTATTTTTATCTGACTTTCAACTTTTCTGTTCGATTTTAGATATTTCGTCAGTAGATGTAATTTACTAAAAAAATTCTAGTAAAATTCCACATACATAAAAAAGAAATATACTTTTCTACAAAGCTAATAATAGTGGGTGATTTTCAGCAGCAATAATGGATCCTGAACAAGATGAAAACTGGTATTTGCGTCCACTTTGCGACCCCAGAACAACGTAAGTGCATTCTTTAACTATTACTCATACCATCTAATAAATAAAAATTTGTAGCAATGCTCCCGTTAAAGTAGCACCAGCTAAAGTCGCGGTGAAGACTGAAATGCAGGAGTTACGGCTCTCTGAAGCGTCACAAAAAATTACAATGGAAACATTGCGTGCAATACATGGGCCCGAATTTCGCCTTAATGATGCATCGGTTTATAGTGATCGTGGTAGTCATATGAAGAAAGCTTATTGGGAAGACCGAGGCACGTTGGTCGTTCATAGCGTTACCAACTACTCGGCGGAAAGTCAAAAGGCAGAAACACCAGAAGACCGATTACGTCGTTTCGCTTTACTAAAATTGGAAAATTATGGTTTTGCACCTTTGCATTGTGTTGAAGCCTACGATCATTGCAATGGTAATACAGACGACGCGTTGTTATTGCTTTATCGCAAATATATGCGCATACCGGGCTTACAGTCGGAAAAGACTAGTTTGTTGAATAATGACCTGAATGAAGATGAACTATTAGAAATGCGTAACGATGAAAAAGCTGCGCTAGAATCCATTTACGATGAAGTTTTTGAGGAAAAGGAAAAGGATACAATTTGGAGCTTGAAATTTAAAATTGATCATTTAATGGTGCACAGTCCGAGTGAACGACGGAGGCAGACAGGTGGGAAGGAACAAAACACTAAGCAAAAACAAAGCCAAATTGTTAACGGAAAAGCGCGTTGTCGTAACTTTGACCGCGATGGCACATGTCGCTTTGGAGGCAAATGTCGCTTTGCGCATGTGCGGCCAACACCAGTGATAGACGACGGAAAGCGTATAAAAACTGATAGTGAGAATTTTCTGATATTTTGCACAATTTTTCCTAAAGAAAGATACATTTTTTCCAGGCTTTTTGGATGGCAACGAAGAAGACAACTGGTTCTTCCTAGAAATTCGATTCCCACCGCACACCAGATATCCTTATGAAGCCCCTTTTATTTACCTCAAAACTACGTGCCACGATCTGCCGCGTGATGTATTGCTGCTTGTAGCACGTCGTTTGTATTGCGAAGCTCGGAGCATTTGTGCTGATGGCATGGGCTGTGTATATAGCATTTGTGAGACACTTCAAAACGGAGAAGCATATTCGCAAATGCCCAAAGGTGACTCCCATCCATTTCCTTCGGATGCCAAATCACTTTTCGCCAATGATCAAGACGGCGCCGACGTTCTTAATGGTGAGGAGCCACAAGTTCTGCCAACACATTATGAACGCGGTCAGACTTCACACACCGAACAACAACGTTCTCTTAAACAGACGGAGAATGAAGATCGTGTCTTGTTGCGACGTTTTCTACAGCGTCAGGACGATGAAAGATATCGTAAAATGATGAGTGGACGTCGTAGTTTGCCAGCGTTTGAGAAAATGATTGAAATATTAGACTTAATGGAACAATCTCAGGTTATCGTAATATCCGGCGAAACAGGATGTGGCAAATCAACTCAAGTGCCTCAATTCATACTTGATAATTGGCTTTTCCAAGCATCAAAGCTGAAAGAAGCTAATAAAATGCCACACGTAGAGGTGGTTTGCACGCAGCCGCGTCGTCTTTCAGCGATCGGTGTGGCCGAGCGTGTAGCCGACGAGCGTACCGAACGCGTCGGCCAAACGGTTGGCTATCAAATACGTTTAGAGAATAAAATTTCATCCACCACTCGCCTAACCTTTTGCACAACGGGGATACTGCTGCGACGACTCACTGCTGATCCGCTGCTCAGCACCGTATCACATATTATTGTGGATGAAGTGCATGAGCGCAGTGAAGAATCCGATTTTCTCCTTATGATACTCAAAGACTTACTTAAACAACGACACGATCTTAAAGTTATACTCATGTCCGCCACACTAAATGCCAAATTGTTCTCCGACTACTTCGGAGGCGCGCCCGTGTTAGAAATACCCGGACGTACTTTCCATGTAGAACAATTATTTCTGGAAGATGTGTTGGAAGTTTGTGATTATGTAATGGAATGTGACTCGCAATACTGTCGTAAAATAACGAAAAAAGAAGAAGAAGAGTTGATGCGCGAGTTAGAATATTCGGATGTGAAGTCAGAGGTGGCTGCGCCGGGCAAGAACATAAAAGACGATAAACTCACTTTGGCGCAGATGTATGGGCGATATGGTGGTAAGCAACAAGGAGGAACAAATAAAACTATTTTCAAAAACCAACAACATAAATTCTATTTATTTTTCAGATTATTCGAAAAAGACCTGTAAAAGCATCTACCTTATGGAGCCGATGAAAATTAATCCCGAATTAGTGGAATCTGTTCTAAAATACATTGTAGAAGGCGAGCATAATTGGCCCAAGGAAGGCACAATTTTGCTCTTCCTACCAGGCTTACAAGAGATACAAACCATACATGAAGCGCTCAAGGATAGCACACTATTTGGCAGCAGAAACGGCAACTTCATTGTGCTACCATTGCACTCCTCACTCTCCAGCGAAGAACAATCGGCTATTTTCCGTCCCGCACCTAAGGGTAAGCGAAAAATCGTACTTAGCACAAATATTGCTGAAACCTCGATTACCATTGATGACTGTGTCTTCGTTGTGGACTACGGCTTGATGAAGGAGAAGCGCTTCGATGCCAATCGCAACATGGAATCGCTGGAGTTAGTTTGGGTATCACGCGCTAATGCGATGCAGCGCAAAGGTCGTGCAGGTCGCGTCATGCCAGGCGTTTGTATACACCTCTTCACTGGCCACCGTTTTCGACACAATTTCTTGGCGCAACCAGTACCGGAAATACATCGCGTGCCTCTGGAACAGCTAGTGCTGCGCATTAAAACCCTACCCTGTTTTAGCGCCAAGAATACACTGGAAGTATTGGGTCGTACTCTTGAGCCGCCCACGGAGGAAAATATTCTCTCGGCGGTGCGCCGTCTGCAAGATGTAGGTGCTTTAGATGAAACGCAAAACCTAACAGCGCTAGGTCACCATTTGTCCGCGCTGCCTGTGGACGTGCGTATCGGCAAGCTGATGTTATACGGCGCTATCTTTCAGTGTTTAGATAGCGTGCTAACTATCGCGGCTTGTTTGAGTCACAAATCGCCTTTTGTGAGTCCATTCAATAAGCGTGCGGAGGCAGAAAAACGAAAACGAGAATTTGCTATCTGCAATAGTGACCACTTGACGATGTTGCTGGCTTATAAGGTGCGTTTTTACTTCAATAAATGGCTAGTTTACAAAAATAATATTATTTCTTTTTTATCTGTTTACCTTTCAGAAATGGTTGGAAGTATCCCGACGCAACTTTTTCGCCAGCCGCAATTATGCCGACGAGCACTTTCTCTCGTTGAAAACTCTAGAAACCATTTCAGAGGTGAAGTATCAGTTCCTAGAACTCCTCGTATCCATTGGTTTTGTGCCTGTTAATATACCACGTAAGCGCAAGAACGCTAGCGATAACATACTCGATTTGACTGGTAAGCAAATGGCAATTGGGATCACTTTACCATCCTAAAAAACTTCCCTCTGCACCTTTTACTTCTTCTAGGCGCCGATTTGAACGTGAATGGTGAAAATAATCGCCTTTTAATTTCACTACTTTATGCGGCTCTCTATCCCAACATCGTAAAGGTGCTAACGCCCGAACGCAGTTACATCTCCACAGTCGGCGGTGCAATGGCGAAAATGCACAACGCTAAGGACTTGCGTTTCAAGACACGTCAGGATGGTTTCGTCGCAATACATCCATCATCGGTGAACGCAATCGTCGGCAGCTTTCAATCACCATTTCTCATCTATCAAGAAAAGGTGAAAACGTCGCGCATATTCATACGTGAATGCTCCATGCTACCGCTGGTGCCGTTGGTGCTGTTCGCTGGCAGCGATTTCAAAATTGAACTTCATGGCGGCGACTTCGTATTCCTGCTCGAAGAGGATTGGATTATATTGAAAGCACATACACATGAAACTGCAGAGATGATCCAATGTTTACGTTTGGAATTGCTAAAACTGTTAGAAGAGAAAATCAGCGATCCTTGTCTGAATTTACTGAATCACGAGAACGGTTTAAAGATAATTAAAACAATTGTACATCTTATAACTAATAATAATTAAGTAAATGATTATGTGTAAGCATATGTGCCTGTGTGTGTGGTTTAGCTAATATGTATGAGCGTGTGTGTGCCTGAAAAAAAATAAAATCAGAACAAAAAATAATGGAAAAAATGTTATTTAATGTATAGTAGATCTAATAAAAAAATATTTATATGCATTTACATAAATGAATAATACATATGTAGTATGTATCTGAGTGTTGCGTGATAAGAGGTTTTATAGACTTGTAATTCCATATTAACATGGGCATATCTTTTTCTTTAGCAAAATAAAAATATTTTAATATGAAAATCAGCAAAACTTTTTTAGGAAGAAGTGTCAATTTATTATTAATATTTTTTCTAATGTATGAAAAAATACATATGTATATCATTCTTATATTATTTAGTCTAGTGCGTTGTTGTTGTGTTGTTGTTGTAGCGGTTCGCGTCTATAATATTGCTGCACTACTTGTTTTTTTTTTTTTTTTAATTTATGAAGCTTTTGCAAGTTTATATATTGCACATTAAGGAATTTAGAAGAGATAATTTCAATATTTTTCTTTCCTTTTCAATTTGGCAATAAAATTCGATTTATTTCGCGTATATTTTTTTAATCTGAAAACAGCACTGATGATACGTATCGATAAGTTTTCGGTAAACGGCGTTTGGAACGCAGTATATAGTTTTACTGTTAAAATACACATTTTTATGGGATTCCTTTTCAGCTAAGTATTTCCAATGATCTAACCGATTTGGATTGGCTTTCTTTCAACTTTGATCAAATTAATTTTGAACATGTCACAATAGTTGGTCTATAATTGCCTTAAGCAAGTAAAAATACTCTAGTCTGGCATCTTTATTGGAAAGGTATTTGCGCCAAACAAAATTATTTAGCAATATTCGACTGTATAGTTATTTTTGTGCACTGTACATAATTGATATTCGCAATCTTAAAGAAACAAATAACAATGTTATAAAAAGTTTTAAGCATTTAGTCAGTTGGCATTAACGTGTGAAAATCTAAGAAAAAAATATGAGCCTAAGTCTGTGTCGGAAACGACGCACTCAGGCTAACGACGACGTTTCAAGTGTTTGCACTAATTCCACTATAGTTACGAAGCACCGTGGTGCGCGACAGCGGAGAAGGGATGAACTACCGGCTGCAGGCGCTGAAAAGAGTGCAAAAGCTCAAGAGGATGGACCAAGTTGTAGCCAAGCGAAGAGGCCGAGACACAGTACTCCACAAATGGTAATTTAACTTGAAACTCTGCATTGAATATATAAACTGATTCCGATCTCTATTTTAGTCTACTTCGCAAATAACAAGGGAAGCTGCCCGCTGTGGTAAAATCAAAAAAGTGGTTTTGTTAAATTTCATGTGTCATGCTAATTACTGCATAGAACTGCACTCGCGCGTTAACTTCATGGTTGGTCGCAATGGTTGCGGAAAAAGTGCCATACTAGCGGCACTTGTAGTGGGTATGGGGGGGCGTGCACGAGCGACTAATCGCTCGACGGCTCTACACAGTGAGTATATGTTTATTTATTTATATGTATAAACCTGGATAGGTAAGATAAAACAAACTCACTATCTGCAAAATGGTTGTAAACTTGATTGGCGGAAATTGAAATAATAATAAGCTTAAATTTATTGCTATTGCAGTTTAATCAATTTTAATTTATATATATTTCTTTTAGGCTTAATAAGAAATGGTCAAAGCACAGCACGTGTCGAAATCACTATTTCTAACGAGGGTGTTGAGGCTTTCAAGCCTGAAGTTTATGGTGACCAAATAACAATAGTGCGTACCATCACACAAACAGCAAGTAATTATAAAATCAAGAATTCGCGTGGGCATATAGTGTCGGAGAAATTTGATGAATTAAAGCGCATCATCGAAATTCACAATATACAAGTTGACAATCCTGCATTCGTTATGAATCAGGATAGTGCGCGAGAATTTCTAAAAGAGTAAGTGTACTTTTGCATTTTAAGAAGCGTATAATTTTATTATTAAAATACATTTTTTTCCCCCAGTATGGAACCAAAGAAAAATTATCAGCTCTTTCTAAAGGCAACACAACTCGATTCAATACAAGAGCAGCTTTACAAATGTTTTTATGAGTATAAAGATCATCAAGAACGTATAAAATTTATAGAAAAGGTTTATTGCTAAGAACTCATTTATATAGGTATTTGATGTTTTAACATTTTCATTTGTTTTATTAAAGAAACTGAATCAGGATCAGCAAAAAATCATCGATTTTGAATCAGAATATAGCAAGTTATTGTCATTTGCTCAACTGAAAGTAAGATTAATTGTAATTAATTATGATAAATACGAACAACTAATTAACAAAAATTAATGACAGCATGAAACCAATCGCAAAAAATCCGAATATGAATGGTCGATAGTGAATCGATTAGAACTAGAAATTAGCACTATGGAAAAAGCACTTGCCGATATAATACGTGATCGCGATAAACTTGAGGAACAGGCACAGCGCAAGAATGAAATTGAAAACGAACACAAAGGGGAAATAGAGTGAGTTCTGCGATAATTAAGCTTTGTGAAGAATCTCATTTTGCATGTCATATTTACAGAGAATGCAAAAAAATCATCGAGTCATGCCGTACAGAGTACACCGAAAAGAATGAATATTGTCAAAGTATCAATGCAAGATTAAAAGAGAAATCAAATGCTTGTCATGGCTTGAAGTGCGATGTGGAAAGTTGCAAAAAGCGCGTTTCTCATTTGGAATCATTAATTGCAGATTTGGAGCAGAATATTGCACAACGTTCAAAGTTAGTTGTAGTGAAAAACTATAAGTTTTTTAAGTCGTGAAATTTCTTGCTTTGAAACTAAATACTTGCCTTTCACTTTATATTCTCATTATCTGTTTTATTTGGCTTTTCAATAACAATTTTACATATATAAACTGCTAGAACAATGGGCGTTGAAGAGCTTCGCCAGCGCAATGAAACGGAATTGGAGACCTTAACCAAAGAACAGGCCGAAAATAAGGCTATGAGTGAATCAGCCAAACGTGAACATGAAATTTTCGTCGAAAATAAATCACAAAAAGAAGAAGAATGTAGAAATATTAGATCACAAATTGAAAACTCCAGTCGGCACATTGGTAAGTAGTAGAATGCATCGAAAATCCACTTAAGCATGAAACTTTTATTACCATTTTGTGAGCGACGCGATGATATGAATTGATTTTAATTAATTTTTACACTTCTTTATACTCACAGATAACCTCAAGCGTGAAATAACAAATTTGCAAGGGAACAAAAAAAATCGCTTTTCAATTTACGGCCATGAAATGCAAGCATTATTGGAGGAAATTGATCGCTATTATCGTGCCGGAAAATTTAGTGAGCGACCGCGTGGTCCCATCGGCAGTTACTTGGACGTACCTGAGCAAAAATATCGTGATGTTGTGGAGAATCAAATTGGCGGCTTACTTCGTGCCTTCCTCGTGAACAACACAGCAGATAGGGTGCTTTTGAATAAGATAATAAAACAGCGTTGCCCCAATATGCATGTGACCATTGTGACAGCAAAGTTTTTAAATAAGGTCAAAAAAATAATTTAAACAATTTTAAATGTATTATAATCTTATTTTCCTATTTTACAGGTGCATGATGTACGCGGCGGTTGTGTGCGTCCTCCCCAAGGCACATGCTTACTTTATGACGTCATTAAATGTCGCGATGCCGTCGTTATGAATTGTTTAATTGATCAGTTAAACGTTGATACAATTTTACTGACGGATAACAAGAATACTGCCGAGCATTTGACAATGCAACAGGAGCAGGTGCCACAAAATCTGCGCAAAATCATTGTAGCCACACAACCGGCTCTGGAATACTTTCCCGATCCGAAATTTCGTATGTACTCGTTAACTATACGGCCTGCACGTCTCATACAAGTGAATGTTGACGAGTGTATTAGGTGAGTATTATACTAAAACTAGTACGTACATAAATACACTAACTGTTTTTATGTAAAGGCAACGCGAGCACGAGTATCGTGTAGCCGTAGCGGAAAAAGCGGAATTGCAAACAGCTTTTGAACAAGCCCAACGTGATTTAAGCGCCGCCTTGAATCAATTCAAAGAAAAACAAACATTAATGCAACGCCACATGGACAAAGCTATGCGCTTGGAGCAACGCATTGAGGAACTGCGAAATTTCGAATATCCAAATACGAACGAGTTATGCATATTGGTAAAGAAATATTGTCTTACTTTATTTGTTTTTTTTTTTCATTTTCTGAGTAAAAAACCAAGCAGCAGTTTTTTTTAATGAATTCCGTTTACATTTCTACCATAGCAAAAAGAACTTGACGAAAATGAGAACAAACTACAACAATATAAAACCAAATTAGATGTTAAGCGCAAGGAGTTTGCTGACGCTGAAAATGCGAAACAAAATGTTGAAATTGAAATGCGTAAACATACGGCAAAGCTCAGTGAAATACAGCGTAAAATACGTGAAAAAGAGGTAAATAAGGAGCATGTACAATTTTTTGGACCTTCATGTTTTTAGACCAAAACCTAAATCTAATATCGTATCAATGTTTGTATAAATTTTTTGTAAAATTAATCACAGAACGAAATAAATGACTTACAAATGCGCTTGCGCAGCGTTCTGGACAGTTCTCAGAAATTCGACGATAAAAAGAAACGCATAGAAGATCGCATACAAACGGAGGAGGTGAGGCAAAGTTAAAATAAAAGCAGTACATCATGATTACTTTAATTTTCGCCGCAGGCAAACAAATCCAGTAAACTCCAAGAGCTCAATAACCAATTGAAAGTGGCACGGAAGCGTGGCGAACGCATAAATACCCAACGCAGTCCGCAAGATATTTTAGATGAAATCAAATTAAGTGAAGCAAAATTAAAGCAAGGTGCACCGTTAAAAGAGGATCCTGCTAAGTTGGAGGAGGAAATAAAACGTTTGAAACGTACCCTCGCCGTTGATCGGAGTCTTTTCGAGACACTAAAACTTGTCACTGAACAATTGAAGAAATCGCATGCGATTCGCATGAACTTTGTGCGACATTTTAAAGGGCACATGGTGACAATGCTGCAATATACGTTCAACGTGCGTTGTTTTAATTTATTCATTATATTTAAACACATATATTAACTGACCCTATATAAATTTATACAGAATGTGCTGAGTAAACGTCGATTCACCGGCAAGATTGAGGTCAATCATAAAGAGCAAACTATGGAAATTTCCGTTGTGCCGCGCGATAATCATATTGCCGATGCTGTCACCAACACGCGAGCGCTGTCTGGCGGAGAGCGTTCATATACAACGGTAGCATTTTTAATTTCACTCTGGGCCTGTGTTGATCATCCATTCTTCTTTCTTGATGAATATGATGTTTTTGCGGTGCGTATAGTTGCATTCATTTCTTTACACTACAATATATTTGATTTTTAAATTTGTTAATAAACCCACAGGACGAGGTGAATCGTGAGTATATGACACGTTTACTCAAATTCGAGGGCGAAAAGCGGCCGAATCGACAATTTGTATTCTTGACGCCACAAGATATGTCAATTGAAGCCACTGATTACATAAGAATACATCGGTATGTTTTTGTTTTAACGCCTTTTACTATTTATTGCAAATAACTCGTATTACAAATTTTTAATTGAATTTCCTACAGATTAGTGCTTAATTCTTAATTTTATTTTATTTCCTTCAACAGCTTGGCCGAACCGATTCGGAATTAAGTTACATTATTTGCTCATGTATGCAATTACATGCTGTGGCTAAATTATATTTCCTACTCATTTTGTACCAGTGGTACTCAGTATTGCTTAATTTTATTTTATTTCACAATTTACCAATGAAGTTTTTTTTTATTTCTTTATAATTAAGTTTTATATACATGTACGTATGCATTCGTAATCATTTCCCTACAAGTATATAGACTGCAAAAAATTTATGTATGTGTGTATTAAGTTTGATTAATTTTATAACCGAAGAAATGCAAATGTGTTGAACCGTTTAATTATATATGTTAACGTTTATATGATCAATGAAGAAGTTATGAAATAAAAAATGTATATTTGTGACAAAAAATATATTAAATGTGGTAATTGTTAATTTATTTTCTCCTGATAATTTTTACATTTTTAATATTTTTTTATATGTACATATGTAGATATTTTATCTAAGTTTTTTAAAATTGCTATTTTATACTCAGTATTTTCTAATATAATTATATTTTATTTATTAATTTAATTTTGATTCCTGCGACATTTATTTTTAATATTTTTTTTTGTTTTTTTTTATTAAATTTTTTAATTTTTTTATTATATTATTTTTATTTGCTTTTTTATTATAAATTTTTTTTATATATTTTTTTTTATTATATAATTTTTTTATTAGATTATTTTTATTTGCTTTTCTATTATATTTCTTTTATTTGTTCTTTTTTTTTGTTATATTATTTAATGAATTTTTTTTATTTTTTTTTATTGTATTCTTTTTTGATTTTTTTTGTTCTATATTATTTTTTTTAATCGCTTTAACATTTGCCTTCTACCCTCTCGACAAATTCACGTTTTGTGCCAGCACGCGTCTTACTGCATTCTTTTACAACTTCATTGAGCAATTCTATTTCGTCTTTTATAAAATCCAACTCTTTTTCGACTTCATGGCGTTGAAAAACTGGATCACGACCTGTGATGAATATAAAAAGGTAAATTTAAGTTTGATGCATTCAAATGACGTTTTTCCATATATTTATTTCCAGCCGACTGCATACCTTGTCTACGTCGCAGCATTCTATAAATATCACGTATGCCATCCAATGCACGATCTTTATTCAGCTCGTTTGTTGCCACACAATCCTTGGCATTTGCCAGAATGCGCTCCCAGCGTAAGCACTCACTGCGCGCTTTGTTGTAGGATCGTTCCAGTTCAGCTAAGTCGTTTTTCAGCCCCAACACCGTAAGCGCCGCTTCGTTTGTCACTTTTACCATGCGTTTACGCATCTCTTCTATTTCCAGAAATTTTTCCTGCTCCAAACGCGATATTTCGACTTGGGCTAACACTGCGCAGATGCGTACATTCATGCATATGTATACAAAATTGAATAAATAAAAAGAAAAAATTAATATGGGCTCCATGGAACGGCAAAGGTATGTACATAATTGATATATCTTCATGCAAAAACATTCAAAGAAGTCTAAAAAGCCTTGAAAATGCTAGCCAAAGGTAGGTGAAATACTAAGGACTATTTTAGGCATCTCTGCTTTAGATGTCAGCTTAAGGATAAGTTTACGTACTCAAGGCATCGCAGCGATCCATGCAATCCTTCACCGAATCAAAGATGTCGGACTTCTCCACAACCTCTTGTATGACCGTCTCGTATGGCTCCAATTCGTCTACAGTCGCCTTCAATACCTCACGAAACTCGGCCAATTCATAAATAGCGCGCTTGAATCTCTCAATATTCTCTGCCAACTCCGTGTGTAAAGCCGTTTCTTCAGTGACTTTCTTATCAGCAACACGCTTCTTATCCTCGCAATCTTTGATGAAATTATTCACTTCTATGAAGCGCTTACGCAAATGTGCATGTATCTTGTAAAGTTTGCGTATACGGCTGGCATTACTAGCCGCTTGACGTTTAGAATTCTCCAGCATTTCATCTTGCAGGCGCAACATGGCGGCATGTTCTCGCTCATTGCGTATGTAAAGCAGCTCAATAGAGTCGCCAGCGGAGTCCCAATTCGGTGGTTTACTTGAAGGATTTCAGATAGCAGATAGATTTGAAAATTAATAGAAAAGACAACGTTTGGGTAGACCTACACGAAATAAGCTTCCTGCTGCTTTGATTCGATGTAATCGCCAACCGCCTTTTCAGGACTCAAATCCAAGTTACCGATAACATCTATTTTCGTTGTTGGCTTGAGACGTGGCATTTTTCTACCTTTTCTTTAGCTGGATATATTATGTTCACACCTGGTACGTCTTCAAAAATATAAAACTTGTCTATAGAAAATATTTTCGGTATATTCTGTATTTAATTTTTTTTCTGTTTGCTTGTCAATAGAATTTTGTTTATTGGTGTTACCTTAGTAACTCGTTTCCATGCTTGTGCCTTTTTTCCATACTCTAAAGGAAAACTAATTTTGTATTCTACCGTGATATGTGTACCCTGTTTGTTTAGTTGAAAATGGATCAAGTGTTAGATGGAGCAGCAGATATATGAAAGCTCAATCGACCAAGGCAAACCTTACACAATTTTAACAAGGTAGGTAGGAGTCCTGGCGGAAATGTCGAAAACCCCAACCTCAGTTAACGATGTGAGCGCCGTTTTAATTCTCTGTCGAAAAACCTTAGTATATCTGCCATTCAAGACTTGGTTGCCTGCTAGGGAGCTAAAAGACCAGAACAGCAATACTGCCTGACCATCCGAATTTATAGCTACGCTTTGTATCCTCTTGTGTTATTCATTGATCTCTTCAATGCCATGTACTTCCGCTTGGAAGCTGTTCGCGGGATTTCATAGACGTAAAGAGAAGATTTTATTGAGAGCTGTCCCAAAAATTTCCCAATAATATGTAAGCAAAAAGAGCAGTAATATTGCATTAGTGTTATTTCTTTATTTTTTCAAGTTCTGTATATATATATTTTGCTTGTCTGTATGTACTGCAATAATAATTAAACTACACACATACATAAATGACGCAATTACAGTTAGCTAAAATAAAGGGAAAAGTTTTTTGATTATTTTTTAATTGATTTGAATAATATTTTTTACACATTTTAACATTTTTCGTTTCTAATAAACAATAGCAATAGTATTTAGAGAATTTTTCCAACAACAGAACAAAATTTTCAGAACCAATGAATAGATTGTATTGATAATGGATAAAAGCTTTGACGTTGTGGTTATTTTTTATTATTTTTTTTTTAATTTTTTATTCCTTTGACCCTAAATATTTAATGAATTTGTTGTAAATGCATCTTCAATGCAACAGATTTTGTGGTTGATATATTTTTTGAATGTTCTCTTGTACGTCTTCTTCTTCTTTGTGCTCAATCGTGGTGTTTTTGGTGTCGATCTATGCATTACTTTTTTATTTTATTGTTTTTTTTTTTTAATACTTAACCTTTGGCTATTTATCTTATGTTTACCGAGTTTTAAGTAATCTGTAATTTTTCTTATAATTATTTTTGTGGTTTTTGCTTTATAAATATGTATAGTTGGGGTATTCAACCAAACTCAAATATCTCTGGCAAATGCGTAAATCTGGTAATTATTGATTTTGTTTAAAAAAAAAAGTCGCCATTTTACACAAGGTTTGCGCATTTATTAGACATTTTTGGGTTAAGATGAAACCCCATGGTAAACACACAGTAGCCATTTAAGCCATTTTTTAATAATCTCCTTTGGTTTTGTTTCTTAAAAATAATTAAACTAAAAATACTGTAATTATTGAACTAATTTTCATGAAATTATTACGATATTTACATATTTTTCCAGTTAAGTAATACACATATCAGATAAAAGCATTGCCCGTACTTTCATGCGCATCAAATTCGATGTACAAATGTGTCTGAAAGATAAAATGTCGCTTTAATCAAAGTTCCTATAAAGGGCAAAATATTATATATACAATATCGCAGTTTCTAAAGAAATTAAAAACAACATTGCATTTTCAAACAAAAAGTTTTGACTTTTTAATTTGCTTTTGGTTTATTTTTTTATTATTTTTTTTTTTTTTGTTAGTTTAAACATTTTCTTAAGTTTCTTGCTATGGTTTTTTTTGGAAATTTCACTAATGGTTTTCGAGAAATCACTTAAATTTTTATTCTTTGTTTAACATTTCGAATTTCAGTTTTGAAACCAAAAAAAAAATTTATTAATTGCACCTGAAATCGTGTAGAGTATTTTATGTTTTAACCTTTTCTATTTGTTCCATGAGAGCGAAGGGATATATCTTTTGTAGAGTCAAGCGCTATGCTTGCTTATTTAATCTTTGTTGTGGTGTGCATTGACGTTCTTATTTGTAACTGAAAAAAGGAGAAGAAATTAATTATAATATTTTTATTTTCACCTGAAATTAAGATAAGATTGAAACTTTTGTGGAAAAAAAGTATGTTTAAAAAAATTTTTGCTCACAAATACAATTGAAAAAATATTAAAAGCATTGGAATGCAAAAAAATATCCATTTATTGAAAACAAATATGCAAACGAATTGATTCGACAAAACTAAATTTAACTCGATACAAAACTGCCTTAAAAAAATATGGAAATTTCATAACTCACATAATCTTTATTAGGGCATTTCAAAGAAAATCTTTCGAGTAAAAAAATCTAAAAAAATGTCATTTTTTTTTATGTTTGTAGTTCAATTTCGAAAACTAAAATTCCATTTTCTAATTTCGCAATTCTACAAGAGAAGATTGGAAATATTTTTACTTTTTTCTTTCGAACTTCAGCAGTTGTAAACGCACATTGACTGTTATAGCCATAAAAGTGCGAGCAAATCGGAATACCAAATGCAAGCTTTGAACCTTTTGAAAATTCTGCTTAAAACGCAAATAAATTTTTCTGGACTTTTCGGACGACTTCAATCCACTTTTTTTACTTTCTTTCTTTTCATAATATCGTCCATGTTTAACATTTCCCAAACTAATTTTCAATTTAAATACTTTTTGGATACCCTTTGAAATGGAAAACAAAGGAAAGTCTTAAACTAAACTCAGTTGAGCTCCTTGTTTTCGATTTAATCACTAAATGTATTTTTTTCCAATCGATTATTTTGTGTAAATAATAAAAATGTCCTGTTATCTTTTTTTTTTTTAATAGATATTTATTAACTAAGAAGTTTTGTATTTTCACTTATAATAAAGACAAAAAAATTAGCAAATTCCTCATTTCATTACGTTATTTGTTGGTGTTCGTTTGCTGTTCTTTTTTCCATTATTTGTTCAACACTACACGTGCTTTGTATTTTCGTGTTTTTTTTTTTGGAGTAGATTTTTCTTTTATTTTTGAACTATTTTGAAAAATACTAGTTCAGCGATTTTTGATAGGCAATGAAGTAATAGTTTAAAGAAAGGGGTTTAAATACATCAAGTACAAATATAAATACAAAAAAATTAAATTAAAATTTCAAATACCATATGCAAAGAAGAGACAACAAAGCACGAAATTAATTAAACAAACAATTTGTAATTATAATTTTAATTGGTAATTGTAATAATGGTAATGTATGTGTGTAATAATTATTTTTATATATATATTTACTCGTAATACATTCATGTATAATTGTATATAGTTTAATATATGCGGAACACACGCCAAGAAACACTCCTCTCCATTGTTTTCATGTTTTATGTATGTAAAATGTAGTGTTTTTGTTGTTGCCATAATTATATGCATAACATTTATAAAGATGTGACTACAACTACATTTACATAAGAAATTTTGATTTTGCGTTTATTTCACTATTTGCTTTATAATAAATTTTCGTTTTTATATATTTATATATGTGTGGGTGTGTGTATGTGTGTTTAGTTTCTTCAGCATTATTGATGGTGTTCTAAGTTTGTTTTTCAGCTTTCAACAATGTAGTGGTGTTGTTGGTGGTGATGAGTGTGTTTTTGTAGTGGTTGCCTACATTCCATAGCCGGGATATGCCATGTTTGGCGCATAACCAGGCGGCGCCGCATAATTCTGCGCGTATTGTGGTGGTATGCCCATAGCCGGTCCTGCGGTGATCATCAGTTGTGGTTCCATTGTGATGATGTTCTTGTGTTCGACAGTTTCGTCTTCCTTTTCGCGTTGCGCTTCGTTCTGTTCCAGTTTATCCACTTTAGTAGTATATTCGCGTATTACCTGAAGTTTGGAAGGAATGGGGTTTCATTATTTTTGCTATATTCCTATCTTCCATTGGGAATTTCAACTCACTTGTATCAAATACGGCATAGCAAAGTCCATAATATTGTGTTTCCATGCCAGCTCCAGTATGACATCGGGCCGCAATAAGTCGTAGCACTAAAAAAAAATTAAAAAGAAAAGAAAAATTTATTTAAATCCAGAACTGTTCCTCTAAATTCCTAATTCGATAGCTTGGTATCTAGCCAAATATGCACATTAAATTTCCATTTTCTACTTTTTTCTGAATAACTTCGTTTCATTAATCATCTTCTGTTTTCCACTACACCTCACTTGACCTCCTTTTCTCTACTTTCTTTCGTTGTTTTTCCACCCTCTCATCTGTAAACTTTTAAAAAAATACTTTACTGCCCTCCTACAACTCACTTGGAATAAACAGGCAGCGAAACAATCATGGGCATTACGCTCGAGGAACCAACCCAACAGCTCTTCGGCGATCTCTTGTTTGCCCGACTCAGCCGCATACTCCATTGCGTCCTTGTAGAGTTTGTCCTTTTTGCACAATTCGACGCTCTGCTTCCAGCGATTGTTGCCTAAGAGAATAGAAACAAATCGGTGAATGTTGAATGAGACATTTCAGAAGGGAAGAATATAAGTTGTATGTTAAATCTGGCGATTTCTTATCTTCAAGGCGCAAAGCTATTCACCTTTGTACAAATAGGCAGCAATACGTCTAAATTCTGTCAATTCGTGCTTTTCAAGTTTTTGTGCCAATGCAATTGTGTCGAAGTTGTCAAAACCGTCAATTGAGTTACGCAGACCCTGGTAGTCCTCCTCATCGATGAGCAGTCCATTGAGCGCCTCATTGATCGCTTTGTTGTTGAGCGATTGCACTGAACGCAGATACGGTTTCACCAATTGCAAGTGGCCGGTCTTCGAGAAGAAACTAACGGCACGTGTATGATCCATACGTGGTGCCAATACCAATAACATATCATTCAGCAACAGGGGTTTGTAATCCAAATAGAATTGTATAGCTTTGTAGTAGAGTTCGATGTTGGCCACTTTTGTGATGATGTCCTTGAAGTGACCCTCACGCCAAGCCTCCGTCGGATGTGCCATCATGGCTAGCACTGCATTATCGTACTCTTCATACTTGTCGTAGAGGAATACCAGTTCGGACCAAAGGTGTGCCGATTCGGCAGCGCGCAACACTTTTGGTATGTTGACACGCGACCAGAACAGCTCGAGATGCTCGCGCATCTTAGACGGCTTGAATTTCGAATAGAGTATAGCCAGTTCGGTAAACATGCCCATATGTGCGCGTTCTAGCCCCAAAGCGGACTCCAACAACGCAATAAGTTCCTCAAAGTAACCGCGATCTTGATAGTAATTGATTAGATCTTCTAATTCGTCGGCGTGCACGACGATGTGCAAACCGCACATTTGCGCGAGACGGAATTCTTCAGCATCGACACAAGCGAAGCACACCTCCTTCCAGGTACGCGTCGAATTGGCCTTACGTGCCGAATCTACGGCGCCCTGGAACTCTTTCAAATACACCAGAGTAATAGCGAGCCGAGCAAAGTTGCTTACATTGTTGTACAACAATTTGGCTGCATCGTACATGCCATCATTGAAGCAGCGATCGCCGATCTTTTGTATGTCGGCATGATTCGGACCGGAAATGAATTCTTCTAAATCGGCGAGACGACCAGTTCGAGCATAGGCGTAAATTAGTTCGCTTTCAATGTACGATTCGCGCGCCTTCTTACGTGCCATCTGTAGGTAGCGTACCAGATCGTCCCATGAGTCGGCCTTCGAGGCGACATCGACCACATCCATGTACGCACTTGGATCATCGGCTTTGATGTACGAGTCAATTGCCTCCTTAACGAGTCCTTGCTGGAGTTGCGCTTTCGCAAGTTGTGACCAGACGGCTGGCTCATTACAGCGCTCAGCAAACTCATTGGCGCGTTCCAAATTATTAACCTGCTCAATGAGCACCTGTATAGCGGAAGTATTCACATCGAATTTCTTAAAAATAGCGAATGCTTCCTCATATAATTGATTCGAAATTGCAATATTGGCTATATCGGGCGCATCGTAGTTATCCAAACGGTTGATATAATCCATGACGCGTGTGCGATCAGCCTTAATGGCGGTCAAGATCAACAAATTCTGTAAGTTGCGATGATCGGAGAACACCGACGAATCGAGTATAATTTTTTCGAGTAACTCAATGAGCTCGTTGGGCAAATCGGCAGTCATGAAGGCCTTCACAGTCACCGAAATATCGTCTGGGTCTTGTGTTTCGGAGAGCGCGGTCTGAACGACTTGGTCAATCAACTGACGCTTATACGGATTTGCTTCGGACAAAACCTCAACCCACAGTGCGGGATCGCGACGACGTACCAAATAACGCGCTTCACTCTTGAACAGTGAATTCTCATTGCAGACAGCAATCAACTCGCGATCACACTGACCGCGTTCATAAGCTACACAGGCCAAATGGGGATCGCGTTTCTCGCAATAACGACCAACCACGCGACTATCGTAGTATTGGTTTTCCTTGAGGAAACGTTCGGGATTGTTATTCGAGTCGATATAGATCTTAGCCAAAGCATTATGCGTAGCAGGTTCAACACAACCGTCATGCACGCGCGACTCCAACCAGGGCAATAGTAATTTTAAACGATTACGCTTCTCCACTTCAGCCACTAGTTCATCGGTCGAGAACTGGCCCTTTACGACAAGTATCAAATTTTTGATAATATCTTCGGAGCAATCAACATCCAAGAGACCACCAACGACGACAGGCAAACGTGACGGATTCACCTTTTGCACATAAATCTCGATATACTTTTGCAAATTGTTACGGTACAAGTAGAGCACAAGATCGTGAACGAAATCAAAACGATCGCAAACGATGATCAACGGCAACTGATCGGTGAGTTTTGCTTCCTTCAAGAAGTTCTTAACACGTTCGGCATTATAGCAATTGGATTCGCGACAAATCCGTTCCACCTCCTTGATTTGATTGGTTTTGCAGGCCGCCTGTATATACTTGAAATGCACCTCTGGATCCTGCGAGTAGTTAACAATAGAGCCGAGGAAATAGAAGAGACCTTCATATGATTTGAAACTCTCGAAGAGATCGATCAACGCTTTGGTGGTCAACTGTTCGTGATATTTTGTGGCGATTTGCACGCAAATCTGCAAATTTTGTCGGATATTCGCCGTTAACATCGCTTTCAAGCACTCCAACGAATCCTCAACAGACAGCGTACCAAAGTAGCTCACCAACCAATCAGCATTTAGTAAATGTGTATGCACCACAGCGCGTTTAATGTCATACAAATCGGTATAGTGTTCCAATGCGCGCTGCAACAATCCGGCCTTCTCGCAGAGCTGTGCGATGTGCGCGCGATCGTAGTGCGTGAACATGGCGTTGCCGAGTATGGCATCGGCCACCTGCGGCGCTGAAATCAAATTCATTTCAAGCAGACGAGTCTGCAGAGCTCCTTCATTGGGGCGATTATGCTTGAGCGCGTCCAAGAGGAAGGCCGTACACTGCTGCACCATCGAATGTTCCATGAAAATGTCCACAATCTGGTTGATATCCGCCAACGGTTCTTCCTCCTCGGCAACCAACATTGAAGCGAAACCGGCGCCCTGCTCTGGATTAGTGCGCATCACTGAACGCAAGAGGAAAATATAATCGGGCGTATAGTTGACCTTCTTGGCATACAAAACGATCTTCTGAAATTGACCCGTTTCGGCGAAACATTGTATGACTTTATTGGGTACATTGGCGCGCAAGTAGATAGAGAGTGCCAAAGTCAAATCGGATGTCTTAACCAAATCACCCAACTCCTCGCTGCATTCGAGCTTCTCCTCCTTCAACCATTTCTCACACAACTGTTTCTTACCCTGCACCAACACCGGTCGGCACAACTCCAACGATTCATACTTATTCAACTTGCCCTGATCGAGCAGTATGCCAAAGTATTGCAAAAGGGGTGGCGTCGTCGAGCCAGCGGGCGATTGCACCTGCTGGAAGCGTTGTATGGTTTGTGGTGTACGCAATATACCCTTTGGTGCGAGTGCTGCGACTTTAGCGGCTTCAGCATATTGACCTGCAGTAAACAATTTATTGAATTTACGAACAAAGAGATCCTCGGCGCCTGAGAGATTGTTGCGCACGGCCATGCGCAATGCCAAATCGGGATTCTGTAGCACTGTATTGATGTACGGTATAATTTGCTCTTCATCAACGGTTACGGAGAGCACTTGTCCCTTACGATTAACACCGATTATGCCACCACTGGCCTCGTGCGGTGCCGTCACAAAGATCGTATCCGCCGAGATACGATTCATGTATATGCACGTGGCCGTTTCCATGTCATACAGATGGATATAGCCATATTTGGTGATCAAATAAATGGTATCATATTTGGCGGAAACTTGCATGGCGACGGGAAAATCGCTTTGTGCCTCGGGTGGGAAGAAAACATCTACCGACTTCTTTGGGAAGGGCTGATTGCCAGCTGGAGCGGCACCAACTTCAATAATGTGCAATTTTCCACCACTGGCAGTGCGTACGGCGAAACAGAAGAGCGTTGATGGCTCTTTGTTGCCCTCCATCTTGAAGCTGGCGAAGGAGGCAGCGTGACCTAAGGTGATAATAATCGATCAAATAAAAGGAGTTTGCATTGCATTAATTGTTTTATATAGATAATTTGATATAAATGCCAAAATTTATTAGAAAAATCTATTGTCCTACGCACTCACCTTCAATTGCCTGCGACACTTTACGCTCCACCGAATACAACTGCATGGCGCCTGCCACCCGATTTGTCAATGCCGAAATCCCCACCAACAACAACCACTGTTGCGATGGATTGCAACGATAGTTGATAATTTGACAACCGTTCAACGAGGAATGACGATCAAACATTTTTTGCGGTGTAGAGTCGCCCTCCATGGACCAATGATAGACCGAGGTTTCGGTCACCAAGGCGAGAGTGTTCAAAGAAATCCATTTCCAGAACACAACATCTTCGGTCATGGTGTGCGCCTTCATTTTCGATTTCATTTCTATATTGAAAATTTGCAAGGTCTTTTGAGCTGAAAAATAAGTGTGGAGAGACCTTTGGTGAGCCAATTATTTCAAGAATGATTTTTCAATTACCTTTTAGAGCAATAACTTTGCTGGCTGGATTCATGATGGCCGAGTCTGCGGAGATGGGACGCCTGGTCGGATTGCTGACGTCGTTCATGTCGATGATGACAACTTGTGCGGTGTCGTTGACCTTTTCACGCACACAAATGAATTTGTCCGACTCCATGGTGAGAGTGCTGAACGAAATCGAATTGAGATTGATGCCGACATTTGTGAGCTGCAAAGAATGAAGTAATAAATATTAATTATTTACCGATTTTAAGAAATTGATTTAAAAATAATTACAATTAAATATAGAGTGGAATAGAAACGAAAATAAATATACTTGTGATAAAAGTGAAAAAAGTTATGAAAAGAATACAGAAAAATTCGAAGAAGCTGAAGAGACCGTGCAAATGATTTATTATCTTGTGATTAAAAGTACAAAATTAAAAATATAGTAAAAAAGAAAAAATATATTTTAAAATTTCCAGAATATAATGAGGAAGCAATTAAAACTTAATAATAAAAAAAATTATAAAAACATAAATTCAATTGAAAGTAACTAAAAATATAAATAAAATTAAAATAAATAAATAAGAAAACAAGAATTCAAAATTTAAATGGTTAACAAAAAAATTAAGCGAAACAAACAAAACAGAAAAATTATATAATTAATTTAATTATTTTGGTTCTATTGTTATCGCAAAGATTTAAAACTTTTCCTCGATTTTTCTAATCAACAAAAATTTCGTTCAAGTTCAAGGCCAACATTTGTTTAGCCTCACCATCAATTGATCGCCTTCGCGTGCCGCAACCGCGCCCACAAAACGAAATGTGCCTGAGGTGATGGCGCCAAAAAAAAAAAAAAAAATCGCGAAAAAACATCGTTTGCAAAAAAAAAAAATACGAATTAAATTTATTTGTAAAGAAGAGAAAAATTTCAATGCATTTCTTGGGCCTAACTTCGTCAAAGTCACAAGACAAATTAGCACAATTTCAATATCGTATTTATAAGCAGACACACACACACACCTTCATAATCTCCCACACATACATAAGATTTATTTTTAAGTGCAATAAGCTGACAATAAAGCTGAAACAAAGATTATACATCTACTTTACTGAATGAAAATATGCAATTATTCCATTTTCTGATAGAATGTCAATGGCACCGTCCGACTCTAAAGGCCAAACGTCGGTTGCCGGATGATATGCTCTCCTTAGTCATTTTATACAGAGAAAACTTCCGCCAGCCGCTGCATTCGGCGATAAGTCGCAATTGTTCGCTGTTCTGTACAAAAATATAAGCAAAGAAAATGTCTGACATGTGCATTTGTTGGTGACGCAGTTGTTAATCTCTGCAAAATAAATAAATATTTTTGCGTTTTTTCTTTGTTTCATTCTGTATGCCAATTGCTAAGAATACATAAGACAAACATAAATTAGATTTATTGTTTCTTTAGAGATTTCAAAAAGTCACTACAACTTTTTTTATTAAAGCATATTTCTAGGCAAAAAGCCTCTCCAATACCAACTTGACAGTTTTAAAGCATACATTTAAGTGCTAAATCATGACAGTTTTAAAGCATACATTTAAGTGCTAAATCATGAGGTTTTCTATTTCATCGAAGCCATATTGCATATTTGTCCCTATTGAAGCCTACTTTTGAGCGTTGTAACAAAGCATACATATTTTTCCACAGTTCAAAGCATACCTTGCGGCTTCCATTAATAACTTTATGTAATTTATACATATGTGTGTAGGTACAATAGTAAGTGTAGTTCGCGGTTAAGCGCCTACATTTGCACTATCATTGAAGGCATTTAACTGTACATTTTAGAACTCATTGACACAGATATTCGTATAGTTTTACGGTTCTTGTGCGATGGTATCGACCAGCAGCCGCATCAACTCAACTCAGCGGCTCCTGTTGTTTGACAGTAAATTTTATGTGAAAATGCGCAAGAAAATGTATTGAAAGGGAGTTTTTCATTTGGCTTATTTTTTTACTAACTATAATATTGTGTTGCTCTCTATACTATTTTTTTCGTATTATTTCAAAACTTTTACATATATTTTTTCGGTTGCACTAAGCGGAACAGTGAAATAACCTCAAATCATACATACATACAGCAGTAAAAGCTGATTATTGTTATGGTGCACTGAGCAAACATGTTAGATATGTACATATATGTACATACATACAATAAATATATGATATATAATAAAATAAACATATTTTGATATACATACATAATATGTATTTATTGTTAAAGGAAAACGAAAAACGAAAGGAAAACGAATTTCATTAGTAAACGTTCATACCATACATATCTAGGCCTCCAAGCATACAAAAGTGCCATAACTAACGACATACGAACATATAGTACGTATGTAGATATGTACATTTACATATATGTAGGGTTGTACTGGCTTACTAATGGAAAATAACGTATCACTTGTTCGATAGGAACAGAGTTCCAATTCCTTTACTGCATAAATATATTTGTATGTACTATATTTATGCGTGTATGTAAACTCATAGAGGTGCTTGTCTATTTTACTATTTTTTTTTTTATTCAAAACTTAGTTTGTTTTTGCAGTTGTTTATTTGAACTTTCTAATATTTTTTTTTTTTTGCTTTGTTTTTCTCTTTTCATAGATTTTGCATTTTGGGTAATATTCAATGCCTCTTTTTGAGAAAGCTCAGGAAAACGTGGCCAATGGGTAGGTAGGTAGGTACATACACATATACAAACTGAAAATTAAATCAGTACAAAAATTTTAACTCGTATTTATTTGTATACACACATACATATGCACATATATCAAAAATCGATGTATGTATATATTTATGATGTGTTCATTTCTCCAGTACAATTAAATAATTTAATTATGTATGAAGCAGTGTAAAGAAAGTATAATGGTATGAGGTTGCTATCTTAATCTTAGCTGAGCAAAGCTAATTCATGTCCCGCTTAAAGAAAACTGCAGCAGTTGGTTATACAAATAGGTGTTCACCCTGAGAAAACACTCCAAATAGAAACTGACATTTGTTACAATCCATTTAACATTTTCCTTATGGAAATCCAAAGTAACAAATCAAAACTGCTACCCAAAGTAACTTTTTCAGAAATAAAAAAAAAAATTAAGTAACCCCTTTTGGTGCTCTACATAGCAATTTTTGAGTAGCAAAATGTAACAAAGAAAAACAAAAAAGGTAATTCCGTCCCTCATTCACTCGACCAGTCTGTCATCCATGAAAAAGCAACGAACCGGTTCAGAATCCCAAATCAAAGCGTATTCCGAAAGAAGAAAAAGAAGAAGAAAATAAGATTAACTAATAAGTAATGAAGAAATTTTGATGTAAGCGAAAACGCTGTAGCGTGCGATGGACAGAATTGGTGTCACAGTTATGTATGCATTGCACAACTGACCAGCACTTCACCAACTATGACGTTGAAAATTACTAAAGCGTAAATTAATAATAACTGAATGAACATGAAATTAGCGAATATTGAGAGGTGAGAAAAAAGATAACTAAATATGCAAACAAGTTACAAATATCTAAAATCAAACATTGATATCAATGACAAGTAAATAATATATAAATAACATAAATAATAATAATATCAAAAAACTTGTGATGTATTTGAATAAAAGTTTTATATTCAAAGAAAAGAAGAAGTGATTTAACCAAACAGAAATAAAATATAGCAATGTTTTTATATGTACACATTTAAGCTCCAAAGCTATCTTCGCCGTTTAGCCCCAAATGCCACCAAGTTTCGATGACTCACATCTTTTCACTGAGTGAACATTAAAAGAGCACACACACATATATACACAGATATATTATGGAAGACGCACAAATTTATTGAATGGCAGCAGCAATACGCGAGTAATGAACAAACCGGCAGCCGGCCGCACCAGTCACCGCCACTCGCGTAACTGCTCTTTTTTTTTAATTTGTTTTCTTTATCTAAAGCTACAATGCGTTTCAATTTCAGTTTCATTTTTATCAGAGAGCAGAGTCGAAATAAAATGTTTTATTTTTCTTTATTCTTGTGTTACACATGACATACATACATATGTATACAAATAGATGCATACATCTATACATCTACGGTTATAATTTGTAGAGAATGATGCTGTGATTTCATGTATGCATTCATGTGGGTGTGCAAAATAAGCTAGAAAAAACGTCTTTCTTATCAAAATTGAATGAAAGCAACGTGTGATTGTATGTATGAGATAGTATAAGCTTTTTATAGCCATGGACCTGATAATAAGACTGATGTCGCCTACAATTGAAAATTAACGATTGAAATGTGGGTGTTTTTAGACAAGTCTAAACCTTTTCTTCAGCTCCAGCTTGATATCTAAAATATTAATTTTATGCATACATAACTTATTTTCTAAGAAAAAAATAGTATTGTTTATAAGAAATTTAACATTCTTCATTCTGAGCAGGAAAAACGCCCACAATCTTATGCTTACCTGCAAATGCTCCTGGAAGCGTATTGGCAAAACTTGCGTCATTTTGCAGCAGTTAATTTTTTAGGAATAATCTTTTACTGCAACAGCGATGCAATCAAACTTAATTCTTGGTTGATTGCTACTATTGTTTGTTTTTGTGCTTCAGGATCACACAGTTGTGACTCGTTAACACCCTTATTAATTGTTTTTTTTTTTTTGTTTTTTTCGTTAGTTCGCTCGTTTTGTTCGCTTTCCTTAACGGTTGCTGTGGCTATAATTTAGCTCTTTTCACATTAATTATTTTATTTCTCTATATATGTATGGGTGCAGAACCTTCTACTGTTGTAAATTCGGCATAAAACGAGAAAAAAGGGAAAGCGATTAAAAATAAAAATTCAAGTAATAAAACGAATTGATAAATTGAAATAATACATTTTTTACAGAACTTTAAAAATTACTTTTTAAATTCTTGTTTTAACTTCGGGTTCACTTTTCGGTGTTACAAAAACACACATAAGTTTACAATACTTTTAACTCGATCACTTTGCTTTGTCCACAAATACACTGAAATTTCAAAAAAAAAAAATTTTTTCGGTTTTTTTTTTATTTTTAAAAAAAAATAAGTTGTATATGTGCATATGTAATATAAAATAAATCTACGTGACCGTAAGGATAGTGGGTAGAACATTGAATTGTCTGATTCACAATTGCACGTCACCGCCTCCAAAAAAAAAAAAAAAAATTTATGAATGTCATCAGATGCACAAAAATCAACTCACGAAATCTATTAATTACTAGTTTTCTAAATCCTATATATGCAACGCACTTTAGTAAACTTCGTTCAATACTTTTTGCAAAACAATCGAATAATCAAAGTTTATTTCCTAGAAAATTAATGAAAAATTAGCGGCACTGCCACCACTTTACACTCGAAGTCATTCGCTGCTCGCCGACGTCGTCGATGTCGTTTTTCACCTTTTGACAGCGGCACAAAAGTAAGCAAAACAAGAAAACGCTCCATTGACAGTGATAAACGGCAGAGAATGTACAATATAGAGAAGGTGCAAAGCCAGCGTTTACTCTACGTTCTCTGTAAACGGCGAAATGAAATGCACTTTGAAAAATAAGAGGTGAATTAAAAGTTAATACTTCGGTGAAAATGATCTAATCCGTGGTTTATGGTTTTAGTCAAGCTTTAGTGTTATTCTAATTGGAATACAATAATTATAAAATGAGCCCAGGATACAGTTATGCCAATTTGATTTGAAAGTTAGGGTACATATAAATAAGTATGGATTTTCACACAGCGAATATTTTTATAAACATCTGCGGCGCAGACTGTAAAATATTACCACGTATGCCACATAAACAAAATATATGTGCTTAAATACGGCGAAAAATATCTGTATGTATGTAACGCTCTATTGCAGTCAACATCCGCCCACTGCCAATAAGCGCAACAAACGTAGACGCCACTTGATTGTGTACAATGCCGAACATAACAGTTAGAATGAGATGGCAAGCTAGTTAACTATTCTGAATGATAGTCATTTTTTCTGTGGTTATCTACAATACCCGTTTCTACCATTGTCCCTCACCTCTTCGTCGCCTACCCTTTCTCTAGCCAACACGAAAAATTTCCACTTTTCCTTTTCAGTCACTTTATTGTGCACCAAAGAAATTAATCTCCTCTACGTAATTTTATGCAAATTTCATGTCCTACACAATTACCAATTATAGTTGTACCGTTTTTTGTTTTTAAATTGGTTAAATTCGCTTTTAGAATCAAATTAAATTACACTCAAAACGCGTTTAACCATATTGATTTCTCTACCACCGAAAAGCGAAAATGACGAGAAAAATTCTATCTGACAAGTGAAACTTCCCAACTGACATCGAATTCGCTTCAATGACGACGATTGCATTGTCCGTGGTGAATATACTGAAAAACTGTTCGTTTTCTTTCTCGTAATAAAATAGAGGAATTTTGGATTTCAGGATTTTGGATCTAATGCTTTTTATTTCAAAAACAAAGGACAATGAGTGAAATAATAAATAATTTACGATGGGCTAGGGAAATTTCATTATCGGGGCCAAAAGGTCGGTTCAGTAAGATAGCCCCGGTTGCATCATAGCGTTAAATTATCAACTATTGATGTACAATAAATAACAACACCCATTTTAGATAAACAAAACAGGAATGATTATAAATAAATAAATAAAAATTACAACTTATACTGTTTACGGTCCAGCATGCAGGATTGTATACTGTTTATACTGCACTATAACTTAAATGAAAATTTTACCCATGTAAGAAATTCACAATTTCGGATTTTACATATATGTTTATCATATTGTTGTTGTTTCAAGGTAAACACAGTTTCCGAATAATTTTACATCGTTTAAGGAGGACAGCAAACTTTCCTCAATGTTTCGGAAACTATTACCAAAGAACGTATGTGAATTCATATCCGTTCTTTGCTTCTACTCTTCCAATGTGTAGTTCTTGATGTAAAAATTTTGTACCGAATAAAACTAACCATTAACAAATATCTCAAGAATATTTAAAATTAGTATTAAATATGGTTTCGAAGCACAAGATCCACAACACCCAGATGCAACCATGTTGTGTTTAACCCGCGCATGCGGATTAACTCAAAATCTCTCCAGTTCACAATAGCCAACAAACAAGGCATGTAAACAATAATTGTGCAAAAAAGAGGCAAAGAAAGTGAACATTAACGAAGGGACGCAACAAATTCGTGAATAAAAATTTAAATGTATTTAGTGTGTGCCAAAGCGAACAGCGTTCCAGCCTAAGAGTGTGTGAGAAAAATCAATAAATTAGTTGTTCATGAATAAAATAAAGTAGCTGCAAAAATTTGTTAAAGCATACATTTATAAATAAAGTTTAATTAAACTGGATAATTGTTTCACACATTTTTAAGTGCGCGTGTGGTAATGTGCAAATATTCAGATGGCAAAAAAGGACGCTCCTAAAGTCATGAATTAAAGTGAGTATAAAAGTTATGTCTGAATCTTTTATAGTTAATAGAAATGATTAAAAACCCATTTTTATGCCATATATGCAACCAAAAATTATTATAGCGGTTCGAAATTAGTATTTATATATGTACATGTTCTTAATATACACATAAATGTGTATAACTAAATTCGACAAATGAGCACTTTTCTCCTTTTGTTTTAGTACATTTGTATGTGCATATATTTTACAGAATTCTTCTACCTTGCAATTTTTTTATTTTAATTTGTGCTTCGCTGGTTATTTGCTGGTTAAACTTGCTGCCGTTGGTATATTTCGCATCAAATGTACACATTTATTTATATAAGTATGAGTATGAAAAATATGTAGTTATGCTGCTATTTGTATGTAGGTATATGTTTATTTGCGCTAACAAAAGCCTCCTGCAGCGCCTTGCACTTGGCTTCGATTCCTTTTAGTTTTCTTATTTGTTGACTCTTGTGCAGCTTGTAGTACGGAATATTTATTCCTTTGCTAGTTTCTCGTTGTAGGTATTCTTTGAATATATTTTTGAACATACATATGTAAGTGTGTATGTAGTCTCCATATGTCTTTTTAAATTAACTCTTACAGTTTTTGTTTTATATAGCTATGCTATTTTTATTACGCTTGCTTGGTTGCGGGTAGTTCTGCTCCATTCTTAATTGCATTCGTGCGCTGCGAATGAAGTTCAAAGAAACTCACATGAAATATAAATAGTACTTTATGTACAAATCTAAAAACACGTTATTGTGCATAACAATGACAGGAAGTCATGGAGTTGAAGAGCCGGAGCATAGCGATATTGTTTTTGCATGCCATGCAGGAGATGAAAAAGCCATGTGGAGAGAAGCCTTAACAAGCGGCCTTTTTAAAACAACATAACGCAAAGAGCAGTCGTAAATAAGCAACTTTTGACAATTTACATTTACTTTAAAAAAAAGCAAAATAATTTGCAAACTTTAAAAAAGAATATGCACAACTCACATGGTTACAAACAAAATTTGGAGTTATTTGAATGCGAAAATTATAATAAGTAAATTTGGAAAGTAACTTGAAAAATCTCATTTCCCGTTTATAATATGTTTACTATGGCTATATGAACAGAAAGAACATTCCATTCATTCCCTTTGCCACAAGTCTCTCTAAAACAAATCTACTTCCATATTTTTGCTAATTTTAGAATAATTAAAAACTCCATTGTCGGCTCGCTCATGTCGCATGATTTTTAGTTTATTATTAAGACTCCCCACAAAGCACCATTCAATATTATTTTGCTTACATTTATGAAGCTAGTATGTATGTTTTCCACCAAAAGTTTGGTCCATTCCAATGCAAAAAAATAAATACATTCATATGTACGTATGTATGTATCTAACAAATTGTGCAATCATTCATTTAGACCTTCACTCATTTATTGCTTCTACATCTACCCGTCCATATTTTAAAATTTTTGGATGTAATTTTCTGTGTGACGACGAAAAGTAAGGTCTCAACATCATCGCATGCATTTTTATTTGAGTTTTATGATATTTTTGTCCAAGCTGTTTTCGTTGCCACAGATTTTGTGATGTAGATTTTCTTGCAATACTATCTTATGTTATTTCTTGTTTTTCATCCCTTTTATTTTCTTCATGTACATACATATACATATATTTTTTTGTCTTCACCCATTTGCCATTGCTGTGGTAAACATTTTATTTAAATCTTTGTGAATATTATCAAGTTTGGCGCTATTCATTAGGGTTGTATGTAATTTACGTAATAAATAATCGTATATCTCTATTTAGTTTACTTGAATATTTTCATTATTTTAACCTACAAATGTCTAAAATACATTTTATATTAGATAATTATAATAAAGCAAATGTCAATATTGTTTCTGTATCGTGAATATTTCGAATAAAATTTATAAGACGATTTTTGTTTTTAAATGCTCTAATTTCATGATATACTTCACAACCACCTTCATACACATGCATATATAATATATTTCGTCAGAATACTGTCGCTGTAGTAGTGCCACGATTTTGTTTATTTCTACATTCTCTCATTTTTCCCAATAGTTGCACTCTCGCTCTCTGAGCACATACATTTGTTTATTTTTGTTGAAAAGTCTTTATTTGGCTTTTATTTTTATTTCCTGTTTCTTCGCTGTACATTTCAACTACCACTTTATCCTGTCATTTCTACAGCCTAGATGTATGCTTGTGTTGGTGATGTTTAATTTTACATACGTTATTAACATAATTTGCAAAAAAAATATATTATATATAAGTTTGTAGGCATATATAAATGTTCACATACATATGTCTGCGTATTTTTATATTTTACATATATACATACATATGTAGAAATAAAAATGTACATATGTAAGTACATAATTATGTATCCACTGGAAAATACATTAAAACTGCACTGAATCTTTGCGTCTCCAATCTGTCAAACTGTTATTTTTATAGCTGTTATGTTAATTAACAGCGCTGCAATTTTTGAGTGGCGAAATGAACGGCCAACTGCGATATAAGAACAGGTACATCTTCAATGATGTTACCTTCTCTGCCACTGTTATTTATTAAAATAACAGCCTATAGCACATGGTGGTGAAAAGCGAGGTTAGAATTAAGTTGGAATACTTTTTTTTCAACTTTTATATGAAATTTTATTTTATTAACAGGTAGAGTAAGGGGCAAGGAGTGCGACGTTTATATATGTTATGTTAATGTTCTAGAAGTGTTAGGATATCAAGCTCCTCTTTAAACATCGCAAAATGCGTTAACTACTTCCAACACAATGTGAAGGTGTGTTATCCTTCAGTTGCACAAGTTTTGTGTTGCAAAATCTTCGCTCTGATTAGTTCATAGTTATGGGAGAGATACATAAAACAACAAAATCAGTGCAATATAAAAATTATTTCTACTAATGAAAGAATTTTCTTTAACTCCGGTTTTACTGTACACAGTAGTATGTATGTAGGTACTCATAAAGTGTGTATGTAAACGCAAAATTATTAATATTACTGCTAATGCTGTTGTAGCTGCATACACTTTTTTCGTCGCCTTCCAGTGGTTGTTAAAAATGTTTCATTGTTGTTGTTTTTATACAACCTCGCTCACACACTACCCTTGCCTTTGTGTTTAAGCATATTTTTTATTTTTTTTCTTAAAGATTTTTGCTTCCCATCTCTTTTGCAGCTCTCGGTTGCTGCTGATGTCTCCTGTGGCATAAATGCCACATTTTCGTAGTTCTATTACTGTCTTCGCCTCACTTTCAATATTGTTTAACCACTACACGCACTCTTCTCCTTGGAACACCAAAAACATAATACTTGTATGTACGTGCGTGAGATTTTTTTGAACGCCACTTTAGCGTGTGCGCGCTCTCACTTACTCTCTACAGCCTGCTCTACTATTTGTTTTAGCCCAGTCCTGCTGCGTGTACCCAAGCCCAGATAATATTGCTGCTTTTTATATTCTTTTTAGTAAGTTCATACATACATATATGTGTATGCACTTGTATTTGTTGTGTGTTCGTTCTTTGGCGGCTCTCATCCTGCAAGCATCGGCGTTTGTTCTCTGGCGAGTCGCTGAGGTTAACAGAGACATGCTGCTGTGGTTGCCTGACAGGCTGACTGCACGCTTTCCTTTTATTTTTCTGTAATGTTTTTTTTTTATTTTTATTATTTTATGTTGAACAAACAAGAAAACACTAAAGTACAGTGTTCAAAATTTTGCGCTACACTTTTGTTTTTGTATTTGCCATAGTTGTTGTGTTTTTTGTTCATCAAATTGCTGTTGCGCTACTGCTACGGTCGCTGTCGCAGTTGGCGCGTCTCTGTTGTTAATCTTAAGTACTTTAATATGTATTTATGTATGCCTGTGGTTGTTTGTTGCTGCTGCTACTTTTATTTTATTACTTTTTCCATTTCAGTATTTCTTTGTCTTTTGGTGTTTTCTGGCAAATGTAAAAAAGGAATTCGCTATTTCGCATACAGAATTCTCTGCAGAAATAAATATGTGTTAAAGGAATGAAAATTGTAAATTTTGCTCGGAAAGTGGTGTGTTTTATTTTTATTTAAATAAAAATAACATTTATTTATTTATTTTTTAAATTATGTTGCATTTTAGTGTTGCAGTTAATTATAATTTTTTGATGATATCTAGAGATATATTTATGTGTGTGTGTGCTTCTTTGTCCTTGGATTGTGGTGCATAAATTTTTATGTGTATATGTGTCTGTAAATGTATAGTGCATGTAAATATATATATATATATATATATATATATATATAAATTACGCCAATGAAACATTTTTCCCATTTAGTTCTATTATTTTGAAATAATTAACTGATGGTCTGAAAAAAGAATTTAAAGATGCATAAATTAAAAAGCGAGAGAAATCTTAGATTATTTTCTGAAGTGTTTTTGAAAAATCATTATTCTAATTTAACAGCATTATTTTGGAATTAAAACAAGTTATACCTTAAACTTACATGTACAATTATTTATAAATAGTAATTTGATCGGTGTTGTTTTCGTTAATTTCAAATTTTCTCTCGGCTAAAGATTTCAAAAACCAACTTATGAGATTTTTTACACTGCAAATGCAATAATTAAATAAATAAAAAATTCAATTAAATAAAATCTATGTGAAAATATATTATGTTTATTATTATATCCTTTTCAATACACTCCCGCTTAAAGCAATATTGAATGAGATGTGTGTAGATATAAACCATTGAGCCGCACCTTCAAGACGTCTGCGGTCTTTTAGGAGGTCATTTTCATTGTCAATTTTCGGAATATTTAAATAAATTTATAGTTAAAAAAAATTGTTTTTCTTTTTTAGTACTCCACACAACCTTGAATTAATCACCCAAGTCTCGTCAGTGAAATACCAGGGCTTCCGCAAAACTACAAACGCCGTAAAGACTTCCTCCTCAACCAAAAATAATTCGTATTCAATAAGAGATAAATAGTTTAAAATAAATTTTAACATAAAGACGATAATTTTTCACGGCAGCAGCATTCCTTCAACTTCGGCCCACACACCCAACTACATACATACATACATACATAAAAGACGATAATTTTTCACGGCAGCAGCATTCCTTCAACTTCGGCCCACACACCCAACTACCTTGCTTTGATCGCTCGGTGCTCCGCCAAACGGCACCGTCATAATGAACGCGTCACAGCGTCAAGAATTCTGTGTGCGCTGGAACAGCCATTTGGGTAGTATTGGTGCGGCATTTCCGCAGCTGTTGGCCGGCCAGCGTTTTGTCGATGTCACATTGGCGTGCGAGGGACATCAGGTGCATTGTCACCGGCTCGTTTTAGCCGCCTGCTCATCGTACTTCGAAAGTATTTTGGCTGAGAATCCATGCAAGCATCCGGTCATCATTTTGCCCAGCGAAATCAAGTTGTGGGAGATTCAGGCGCTAGTCGATTTCATGTACAAAGGCGAGGTAAATGTCACACAAGCCGGTTTGCCGCAACTGCTGCGCTGCGCCGAACAATTGCGTATACGCGGTCTTTATGGTTCGGATGCTGCATTGAATTTGAATCAGTTAAAAGCTCTAACGAACAAAGCAGCCGCGGCGGCAGCTGCAGCAGCAGCGACACAACAGCAACCCGATGGCATTGAGACGGATACAGACACCGCCACTAATTCGACGACAACTACGACAGCGACAGCGGCCAGCGCGCTGCAACAATTGCAAGCTGGAGGCGGCATGACGACGGCCATGATGGTTCAAGAGCTACAGCAACAGCAGCACCACCACCAGCAACAACAACAACAGCAGCAGCAAAAGTATCAACCGAAATTCATGATCAAGAAGGAAATACAGACACCGCCAGAAATAGAGCAGGAACAGCAAATGGATCAGCGTCAGCAACAGCAACTGTTGCAGCAGCAGCAGCAGCAGCAACAACAACAACAAAGCAACGGCACAATCGGACACCACCTCGAACACCAACAACAACAACAACAGCTCTCCCATCAGCAACAACAACAACAACAGCAACAGCATCTTCAACAGTTGCAGGCACAACAGCAACAACAACACCAACGGCAGCAGCGCGCACCCCAAGCGACGTTAGCACATGTCGCAAACGCCGCTGCCGCCATGGCCGCCGCTAGCGCAACAACAAATTCGAATGGCGGCAGCGAAGAAGATGAATCAGCCGACGACTCCAACTCGAATCCAGCATACGAAGAGTATGAAAAATATGCACTGCAACAGAGGATCATGGCAAACAATCTGAAGGCATCACAGGCAGCAGTTGGAGCAGGTGGTCATTTAGACTCTACCGTTGAGGAGGATCACAATTATGTGGCTGCGCACGATGAGGACAGTAGCTATTGTGCTGACACTGAACACGATAACTCAGCAAACGCGTCCTTACTCAACATGTTGGCTACGCAAGCAAATAATAGCAGCGCTGGCGGCAGCGGGGAAATAGCTGGCTCCTTGAAGCGTGTGCGTCGCTCCGAAGCATCCCTGGCACAAGCGGCCAAATGCGTTTCGAAAGGACAAACCTTCCAAACCGTGAGCAACATGTTCAACATACCAGTCTCGACAATACGCTTCTATATGGCACGTAAGGGCATTTTGCCGCGTAGGAAGCGTGGGCGTGGTGCATCATCGGCTGTCAGTAACGCGGCTCCCAGCGGAAGTTTAATGAACACCACAGCAGCGGCGACTATGTCACAAGCGCTTTCGCAAATAAAACGTTCAGAGAGCCCCACGGGCTTTCCTGCGCATCAGCTGGTCAGCAGCGCCAGTGTGGGCGGTAAGGCGCATATTTAATTGACGCAACAAGGAAGACAGAAAGAAGAAGTAGGAATGTGTTAAGCTTGTAAAGTGCAACATTAAGCATTTGGAAACTCTCAACGGTTACGAGTGAGATTTTACAAAACTAAAACCAAGCGCCATATTAAAAAGAAAAGAAATAAAAAACATAAATATACATACATACATACATACATAAATACTCATAAAGTATATTTAAGTAAGAACGAAATCAGAAACGCCAATTTATGTACTTACATACATAAAAATATTATAAATGCTTTTACATAAATACTTGGATATATATATTTTTTTAATTTAACGCTGCTTAAGTAAACTTCATACATACAGACATATATTATATTCTAATTTAAGATGTACAAAGTATTCGTAATATTTAGTTCGCAATTTAAGTATTAAAAGTAGTCTTTTTACATTTACAAACATACAAACATTTATACATGTATATAAAATGTTATACATTTGTTAAGTGCGCGACGACAGTTTGTGCAGCTAACTGTATCTCAATGCAATTTATAATAAAATTCTTTTGTATGTACCAAACATTAATATTTAATGTTGTATTTCTCCGGTTGTTTTTGTGCATTTGAATTATATTTAGAGCCACGTAATGAGTTTGGTAAATATGAATGTAAATATTCACTTATATTATCATTTTTTACCGCACAAAAATAAATCAATTGCATTTTTATTCTGTAACAGTCACCACTTGCTGCTAGGTAACTATAAAATGAAATGTGTAGTATTAAGCTTCAACTAAGTCACCGTTAAAGAAGCGTTTAATGTGCTAGTGTTAAAGTGAAAAATATGTGTATCAAAAAAAAAAAAAAAAAAACGAATTAAATAAAAGTTATTTTAAAAATTCAGTTCAACACTTTTATTTCAGTAAAAAATCTAGACAAATAAAAAATACTACTTACAGGTTTTTCATAAATTGTAACAATTTAAAATCAGCATTATTGAGCTACTCATAGTGTTTTGGAAATATTCACTTCAATTACGTATACAATGCCACTTCTGATTTTTACGACTTGCCTTGTAATTTGCAAATTTACTAAACAAACCCATTTTCTGCTTGACACCGACTTAAGCCTGATGCACACTGCCTTCATTTGTACAGCAAATAAAGGTTGGAAACAGTGTGTGCTTCTGTCTTTGAATATTATCCCACTCATTATTGAATTTATTGCAATAATTGTTGTAATAATTAAAAAAAAATACATTTTGTCGAGAAATAAAATTTATTTTTTTGTAAATTTACTATTTAAAGAATATGAAAAGCTGATCAAATTCAAAATGAATTCAAATTTATGAGCTTCCACTAGCACACGTACGCTTCATAATGGTTAGCTGTTATGTGCTTCAGTTCCATGGGTTTCCTATATTACTTAAGTATGTGTATTTATGTATATTAAACAACAATGTAAAATATTTGGTATTTATGCAAGAAAGTAGTGATGAAATTAAAGAAAAATGTTTTAATGTGTGTATCAAACAAATATTTATTGAATCGTTAGCCTATAGGTGAAGCGAGGTACGCTGACGGAATAGTAAATGTTTAAATACACTGGAAACTCTTTAAAAAATGCATTGAAAAATAATTTTATTTGTTCATTGTTCAGACAAAGAGTTTCGTTAAATTCAAATAAAATTTTGTTTCGTTATTCGGCGATTGATTTAAAAGAAAGAAGAAGAAGAACACAAGTGGGCACACGAATAAAAAATAATAATAACAGTAGTATAAAACATGAAATATTTTACTTTATGTAAAAAAATTTAAATAAATTATTTTTAAATAATCATTAACTATTAAAATTAAAGTGATTAATTTATATAAATACATAAACTTTATTAAAATAAAAAAAACTTTATCAATTTATTCATAAACTCAGCTCGTAAGCTTGAGCAAATTGCACTAAGTTTTTATTGATTTCAAATTTATTTACCGTTATACAATTAGTGGCAGTGAATTTTCAATTCCGCTACTAATAATCGAAGAGTGTTGTGAAATTAGTTCTGTTCGGTGGCCAATGGGGAGTAAGAATTGTTACTAAATTTTAGTGGTGCCACTCAGTGCATTTAATTGCTTGATTAAGAATTTTAATTGGAAATACTTATGTATGTATATACTAAAGATTTATAACTATGACTTAAAGTTAGCTTAAGTACACTTATATATACATATATGTACAGGATACTTATAAATATGAGTAACTCGATGAAAATGCTGCTTTAATATTTTTGCCACCAAATTTATGCAATTTTATCGCTGCTGTAAAATACAAACTATACGAAAAATAGTTGGTAGAAAATTAAAGTTAAGTTAGACTTAAGTGTAAAATACTAATTGCTAAAGAAATGAAATATATTTATAATCGAAGTTCATGTAAATTGTTAAAAAGAAGTAAAGAAAAGCTATTACATTCAGCGGTATAAATACATATGTATTTTCAAACAAAAAAAAGGAACTTTTCCTTAAAGGCAAGTTTTATAATTTTTAAAAGTTTTAGAGTTGTCATCGATCACAAGCAAATTATTTGAAAGTCATTTTCTCATAACAATTCAAATGACATGGACAATTTATATAGTTGTTAGAAAACCTTTGGTTGAAAAAAATTTCTAAAGTAAAACATTTAAAATTTTGTAGATCCCATTGTCGTCGTAAAAGCCTAATCGAAATTATCGATCTCTAATTATTCGATTAAACAAAAATATGTAAACCTTCACGCGTTTCTAAAAACGTTGGTTGGGAAATATATATTCATTCGACGTATTGTGAATCCCCTAATCCTAAATAAATTAGAAATTGTTCAAGTAAAATTAATGCTGTAAATAATTTAATACTGCTATGTGAAATTTAATTTAATATTTAAATATGCATATCACGTGCATGAAATGTGTATAATAAAAGTACAGCAATATAAAAAGTTAGTGTTATTTCATTTTATTTTTAGGGCTTACATGCATCTCTGTTACTAAATCAATTGAACTCCCATCTCTAGAAATTCAAAAATAAACACTAAAACAGCTGTTATGGTGCTCTGTTTTTAATAGAAGCTTTTGTCGTTTGTAAGCAAAATTTCTATTTAGTATATATCACTTTGTTGTGAAATATAATATAAACAAATTTTGTCGCACAGTGTCTGCCATGTTACGAAATCTTAAACGCTGCAACCAACAACTTCTATACCTCGAATTCAAAGGATGTGCTCATATATCGACCATACGTGGTGGGATTTCTTACGCAAAGGCCGACAGTATTAAATTCCAAAGCAAGATAATGAGTAAACTTGTCGGCCACCGAGTAGTGGGCAGCAAAAAGCGTTGGTATCCCAGTAATGAAGGCAGCACCTCGCATTTGGCTAAACATCGAAATGCTGAAATCTTCAGTAATACACATATAACCAAATCCAACGCTGGTGGGGGTGGTAAGAACACCACACGTCGAATGGCGGTGCTAAATAAATTGTTTATGAGTCACATAACAGATCTTTTAGCAACCGGTGAAGCATCGGAAGCTATACTAGGACGTGGCTTGCAAGTGACACGCGTTAAAATCTCTCCAGATTTCTCATGTATTAATGTCTATTGGTTGGGCAGTGGCGATGCATTAGCTGATGGCCTACTCGAAACTGAATTACAACGTTGCAGTGGCCGGCTGCGACACGAGCTTTCACAATTGATGTTAATGAGTGAAGTACCACGCATAAAGTTTGCGCGAGAGAAAAAATTTTCAAGTGTCGCACAAGTAGAAGCGTTACTGCGCAACATTGACTTTGTAACCGCAGATGAAATATCAGAGGATAATATGGAAGATGCAAAATATGAGAAATATAATTTTGTAGCCAATATAATGCAGCGTGAATTTTATGGCAAGAGTAGTTCAGCTGCAATTACTGCGAATGGGGCTGATGAAGAGCACTTTCCAGAAATGCGGCACGATGTGTTCGGCTTAGATCATCGCTACATCATGTCGAAGTTAATGACCAAGATGCGTAAGTCCCAACAAGCGTGGGAATATCATTCACAAAAGGGCAATACAGCCGTTAAGCAAATACCCCCTGCTGACGAGTCTCTTGAAAAAATTCAACAAAAGCTCACTGAAGCAGCTGAAAAATCAGAGAAATTTGCGATATTTTTAGCTAAAAGACGCGAATATAGGAACACACCAGAACGCAAAAAACATGATCGTGCTTCCGAGTGGACAGAAGTACACGCTGAACAGGCGGCTATAGAAGCTGCCTTAACACCTACCCAACGAAGTTTATTGGAAGCAGAAGATTACTTATATGAAGAACACGACAAAAGTGAACACAATAAATAGGCAATTTAATACACAATGTACATATATATACATTTTATAAACTGTATAAATTAGCTAATTGACGATAGATCCCAAATAATGTAAATAATAATTTTAGTGAATATTAAGTTTTTATTTAATTATTTTTGATTGTATGTATGGAAACGCAAAAGAGCAACAAAAAAGGTAAATTTGCACATTGACATCTAGGATTCAGCGAAGTCCGCATATACCTAAAAGAAAAGAAAAATTTTGTATCAGAATGGTGTATTTATGCAGGAATCAAATACTCAAATGTGTTTGTGATCAGCTAATAACTTATTTGACTTCAACGTTTGTTCTCAGTCGAAAGATGGTGAGAAGTTTTAGTCATCACTAAAACAAATGTAAAGCAATTTTAATGAAGATGGACTCACCTAGAGAATTTAATGTATCGCTTTCGGTTGTATGTTCCACTAGCTCACTTCCTTCAGCCTTCTTTCATACCACACATGTCTATTAGTGTCAACCTATAAGATGTGAATTGGAAGATACACCTAATCTAAACTCAACTAAATTTTTGCTTCTTAGATAAAACTGATCCTACTACCTACACACATTAGATATGTATGTCTTACAAATAAAAGCAGTTGTTTAAACGTGTAAAAACTTTACTTTCTTTTATTTCATAGAAATAAAATTTCAACTATGTTGTAATAGGTTTTTAACCCTCCCCATGCTGACGCTGTTGTCTGAAACTTGAGCAGTTACCTGGAAATAAAAGAAAATGATCATTAATTTCTTCATATACGAATACATAAATAACCAAGTACACATTTTACAATTTTTATCAGTTTAAAACTTATTTGACATCAACGTTTGTTCTCAGTCGAAAGATGGTGAAAGTTTCATTCATCAGATATATTTAGTCCATTTTTGTACTTTTTAATTGATTCACTTACCCACAAGTTTTTGCACGTTTTTTGTTGCACTGACGTTTGCCAGTAGACCCCGAATTAAAGATTTAGAAGTAGTTTATTCGAAGAGACCGAAGCCCATATCGTCATCTTCAGATTCAGATTCTTCCTTCTTCTCTTCTTTCTTGGCTTCCTTCTTGTCACCACCAGCATCAGCGGCAGAAGCAGCTGGCGCAGCGACAGCGGCAGCAGCACCACCAGCAGGCATAGACGAGAGTTTCTCGCGACCCTGAGCAATCAATTCGTCAATAGACTTGCCATTCAATTCCTTGACAACCTTGGAGAGGCGTTCGGAGTCAACTTCAATACCGACCGAGCTGAGGATCTTCTCGATATCAGCATTTTTGGGGTTTTCGGCACCGCCAAGAACAGCCAACAGGTATGCAGCCACGTAACGCATTCTGCAGGAAAATATAGAAAATACAAAAATTAACAAACCACAAAACTTAGTATATTCAACGACTTCTTCCCCCCAATCCCTCCAATTGTTCAAAAAAACACCCACTATTTACGTTATGGTAGACAAAACTTATCTCTTAAAATCTTCAACATCTTTCACTTAAATAATTAAATTTCACAATATTATTATACACAGTGCTGGTTATTTGCCTTTACACTCATTTTATTGGTATAAACTTACTTTTAAGTCCTTTTTTTCGACACGAAACGTGTACAGCACAAGAAAATACAACTTTCGTTTAAAAACTTTAGAACGAAAAGACCTCTGTCAGCTAGTTGACATTTACAGGCCACTTCCGTTACCATACCACTGAACAATAACCTAAGCTATTACTGATTCGCAGGGTTGATTTTTAACATAAGCAGAATCATGTTCATTGTTAATAAAAAAACAATTTTCCCAATAAAAATCAGAAACTCTTATTACTTAACTATCAGAATGCTTAGCAATCCTATCTAACGTTTTAGAAGACCATAAATAGAAAATAAAGTTTTCTTAAAAGAACTCCCGTTGAATTTAATAACCTATAATCTTTTCCAATTCTGTGTGTAAAAACACCACTTCCAATAGTTAAAATGGATTGCAAATCCTCTTTCAGAGGTTGACGTATTTTTATTTTTATTATTATCATTATTGTTATTATCAATTTTCCTTATTATTATTTCAAACATTTATAGAAGAAATTTGAAGTAAATTTACGAGATGCATGCGATTAGTGAAAAAGTATTACATATTGATTCATTGACATACGCTGAAAATAGTCCATATTTCTCATGGAAGGATACGGAGGAATTATTATTTTCTTGTCTTTGTGGGTTATTTTTATTTTAGGTAATGGAAATAATAAGCTCATGCATGTACAAATACGGAATCGGCTTGGATCTTTGTAAACCGTCGTTTGCTGTTGGCAATAATGATGAAATCAAATTTTCACAGTAAAATGGTAGCACATTTTTTTACACATTTGCTGATTTTCTGCATCTTCGCTCGGTGTTTCTCAAAAATTTTCAGTGTAAATACTTGCTCAAAATCATATTGTAATAACAGTGCAAATTTATACCTACTTATATTATAATTGCATTTGTGGTTTAGTAGAAGTCTGTCAGTGTGACGTGACGTAAATTAACATTTAAATTTTCTTCAATTTAATTTAATATACTCGGTGTATTGCATAGGAAACGATCAATAGAGAGGTACCAAAAATTTAGATATTTTTTAATTCAATTTGGTGAATACATGAATTGGATGTGAGATTAATTCAAATAATTTTAAAAGTCAAACGCAGTTTCATGAATCGTAGCGGTGTCCGCGAGCTTAGGTGGTGCATGTATGAATCAGCATCAGAGACACATTGAAATCGTAATTAATAAGCGTTAAATCTATGAGCGTACGTAATTTGCAAGCCATCTAATTTTTCACCTAATTTAAAATTTTTTTTCCATGTGAAATTGTTTAAGCCATCGCTGACACTTGGATATTAATCGTGTGTCGTGTCAATTCATTTTAAGTATTTGACAATTCGAATTTTTTGTTTTTACGTTTTCGGTTTACTCTTTCGGATATCTTTCTCGTGATTTCCGTTTTACAATTCTATACGTTAAAATTGTCAAAACAAGAAGCAGCAGATACAAAAGTAGAATTAACGGAGGAAAAAGAATGATGAAGTAAAGGCAATACATGACAAATGAACGAAAAATCGAAATCAGTCGAGGGCGAATCGAAATCGTGATAGATACCAAAGAAGTGGATATGAGCAAAGAACGTCTAATTTTTTCTCCAATAATTCCATAAAGTGTTGAAAATTTCCAACTCAATAAAGTCAATAAATTATTACAGCGAAAAAGGTTAAAAATATGTGCATTAGTAAATACAGTGCGAAGTAGATACGTCTTTTGCTTTGTTTGTTATAACAAGTGTAGATATCAGGCAATAAAAGTGTACAAGTAAAAAGTGGGCGCAGTACATACATACATAAGTGTAATCACTAGTGCAGTGTGTATGCGAAAATTTCTGGATACCCAGCGCAGTGTCATGAAATTTGCAAAAAAAAAATAAATATGAAAAAAAGTTTCTTAATATTTCTTTTTAGGTACGCACGTATTAAAAACGACTTGTAATAGAAAAAAAGAAAAACAGTAAAAAATCGAAATCGAAACACATAAACGTAATCAATCGCGCAGTAATCAGTGGCCGTAAGGCAGCCACCTTTAAGAGTTAGGGCAGTGGCCCAAGCAATAAAACCACCAGCAGCAAAATGGATCAACTAATTCCAATTGTTAATAAACTACAAGATGCATTCACGCAATTGGGCGTGCATATGCAACTTGATTTGCCACAGATCGCTGTCGTAGGCGGTCAATCGGCTGGAAAGAGTTCTGTGTTGGAGAATTTCGTTGGCAAGTAAGTACATATCTGTATGCATATGTGCGATAACAACCACTTACCACACTCTGATGTACATACATACATATCCACAATTATATAGACATTAGTTTTTTTTTGTTTCTTTTCCCAAAGGCAAGTTTTTTTTTTTTTGGGAATAATCAATGATTTTGGGTTGTTGAAAATAAATTAGTTAGCTGTGAATTGTCAGTACTGTCAAAATAACTGTCAATGTACGAATATTTGTACGTATGTACTTATAGTATAGCCTGTTATGTAGCAGGAAGAAAGACGTGGTGGTGCCATGCGCAAGTACTTATGTATGTACTACTGCTGCCGCCGTTACTGGAGATCGACTACCTTGGAAATTAGTTTCTTCAGCACTTTTCTTTGTATTTCCGTTTTCACTATAGTCCATTCCATTCTTCTTCTTCTTCATTATTTTTGGTTTGCTCGTTGTTTGGTTGGCTGAAGAAGTGGGGTAGGCAATGTGTGAATATCTGATTGTTTGAAAAATCAATGTCTACACATTTCTTTTATTATTTTTCTAAGCTCTATTTACTCAGCAATTCAAATGCATTTTTAACAAAAAAATTAATGCATAATATAATAATAAATAATAAGAGTACGTCATAAAAAATGTTGATATAAAGTTTGTGCTTTTTAAATATATTTTATTTATTATTGTTAATAAAAAACTATGAAATTAAATTGCTATAATTACATTAATTAATTTTTCTTGTATGCCTTTGTTTTATTTTCTTTTTTTTTAACATTTAAGCTTTAACGCCTCTGCGTTTTACGCTTTCTCTACACGCGCGAATTTAAATTTTTCATGCGTTACGCACATACTTACCAACTCTTATTGAACTGCGTGTCTTCTTTTGAGTTTACCATTGTTAAGTTATAGTTCTTTTGGTTATTTTTGTTGTGCAGATTTCTGCTTGGTGGCTTTGCTCACCTTTCTCACTATTTTTGATGTTTTAGATAGTTAACCGTCGACCATTTGGAGATTTTACCTTTTTTTTTGGCTAAAATTTCATACATACATATCAACATCTTTTTTATACAACAACATGCATAGATATGTATCAGTATTAATGATTTAAAAAAACTTACGCTGAATCAAATAAAAGCTACAGCATCTTCACGGGTAGATTAAACTTTGGGAACACAGCTTAGAAGGGAGCGAGTCGGCCACAATGAATACTTTAACTTTCTGAGATACCCGCTTTTATTTTTTATTTTGGCAATTCAATAAAATATTGAAACAATATTATTTTTTAACTAAAAAATTGTATATACATACAAACATATATTATAGACATATGCTGTCAGCAAGATTTTTAAAGCTTGCAACGTATTGCCATCAATTATAGAATTAAAATTAACTAATCAGCGTGTACATATGTACATATACTCCTTCATATATTAAATAAATACCGCACATAGAATACATGCAATTGAGTTTTTTCTAATCCACCCACTCATGCCAATTTATTGTAATTGCATAGTAGTATCGACCGCTGGAATGACAGTGTGTGTGTCCGCTTTTTATCTCTGCTTATATCTACATATCTACATATGTACATATGTACATACTTGTGTTAATTGTTTAGTTGGTAATACCCTTTGCGCTGACTCAGTTTTAATTAACTAAATCCTTGTTAAAACTTTGAATCCTCCTGCCGCTGGCGAACACATAAACCCAATACAGGCGCGATTGTGTGGGTATATAACCTTTAAGTCATTTCCGCAAAAAATCCAACGAAAAAATGCAAAAAGGGGGAGTATTTCCGCACAGCATAAAAGAGCTTGAAAATAAATTAAAATACAAACAAACAACAATAATAACATAACAGAAGGGATGTGGCCTGAGTGATTGCTGCAGCAAGAATCATTAACTAGTGCAAAAAAGAAGATGGAAAAAATGTGTAATCACTAAAACTAAGGGGGTGTTTACAATCAGCGTGTGCGCACTATCAGCTGACCAAAAAGGTCATGGCAGCATGAAAGAGAGCTCCATAGTATTTCTGAGCACGCATGCAATGCGAGAGAGTAATATGGTACATAAATCGATGCATTGATGAACTAGTATGTGCGCTTGTGTACAAATACAGATACTTCTTTAATCCTAGTGAAAGAAATTGTAACTAGAGTTTTATGTTTTTTTTTGTATTTTTACATCCTCCTACACATTTTTCGACATTTTACATTACTACTCTCTCGGGTTAATGTTTTTTGCGTTATTGTCCTTGCGCTCTTGCGTAAATGGAAGAGGTGGTGTTGCCACTTTGTGAAGTTTTCTTTCATTCACGTTTTTTCATATTTACACATACGCACATAGTAAACGTTTGTGCATGTACATACAAATATTTTCAGAAGTAAATAAAAATTGGGTTATGTAAGTGGCGAGAAAAGTGCGATTTGCCCACTACCAGGATTAAGGATTTAATTAACGTCAGTCTAGCCAATTGCGTTCAATATAAATTACACTGTTTTGTATTTTTCTCTATGTTATTTTTTTTTTGTTTTTGATTAGTTATTATATATGTAAACGCATGCAAATGTATGTACATATTTATGTATGTATAATTTTCTAATTTCTAATCAGTATATTATAGTAAATTGCTTCATAAATATCTACATAGATATGTAGGTAAGTCTATTACCACAACTTCTGACCTACTTCTAATGCTAACGAATCGATAAAATTACAGTTTTGTGTTTATTGCTTACAATTTTCATTCAAATGATCGACATACTCGTAATATTAAATGCGTCTATTTTTATTTTCCATTGAAAACAAATTTAAGGTCTTACAAGTAAATTATCAATCATATTTTGGTTTGGAGGCAATAGAAATGGGCACGTTGTTCCGTTAACAATCGATAACAATGCGATAAATGTTAATGCTCATCATTGCTGCTGGCCTCGCTTTTAAAACTAATTTCATTCTATATAAATATTGTATACTTTTCTAAATTTAACGTATGTATTTCTTGACTGAAATTAGATATATCTAAATATGTGAAATTCGTATAAATATTGTGGGGGAAACAAAGAAATAGAAGTGAGATATTGTATAAAGTGCAGTGTTCCTCTGTTATCCGCTTTAACATTTGATGTAAACATAAATATATGTATTGTACATGTATAGCGCAGGGGATATCAAGGTCTCCGAGTATTGTAGACTCGGTATTGAAAATTAAAGCTTCTCACAAAAATACAGAGGGCGTTCGGAAAAGGCTTAGAATAAACTGTTAGTTCGTCCATTTGTTGGAAAACCATCAAGACACGCATCCCAAGTAAGAGGATGACGTTGGACGAAAACCTCTTCAATGGTTACGAAGTGTCAATTATAGAGCAAACAGTGCCGCATTATCATTCCCGCGTTAATGCGTGTTTCTAGGCCTAAGTATCCTCATTTTTTACTTCTTATCGCTATCGCTATTTCATTCCTTAACTAAACCATTTCTACTGTATGTATATATGTATATATGTATGTATATTAGTGCGCTTATCATGCAGCTTTCAAATTAAATTTCCTCTAATATGCCTGGATTCAAACTAGCTCATGGCAATTGGATAGCTAAGTTGTTTTGTTAGTCAAACACTTGGCGACATTTTTAATTTTCAACTCATTCGTTTGTGCGTTCGCACGAAGAAGAAATTCACCCTCTGTTTGATGGTTTTGTTTTACACAACACATTTATTCAGTAAAACATATTGACGTTTATTAGGTACTTATTGATAAATAAATCAAAAAGGTGGGGTAAATTTGACCTGTGCTAAATTTATCGATTAAAATACATTTTGAGTTTTCATTGTCGTGTTTTTTCTCGTTGGCAATGCGGTCGCTTCTTTAACCAGAGCATTATGGAACTATAACATAAACTTTATATACATAATGTGAAGCATTGATCATGGTTAAAATAGTATACAACTTTTAAAAAATCCCGACTAATGGCTAAAATCATGCTGCAACTATTACAAAAGTCCGTCTGTTTTGCTATGACTTTTAAAAGAATTAATTAGCGAATAACTGGCCGACTGACCACCCGCCCGACAACCTGTAGATGTATACATATATATGTGCATATATACTCCAAATGTGTATTAATGGCCATATTCGGTTTGAGTTTCACGTTCGCCGCTGAATTTATGGTCAGTGATTTTGTGTTCATATCAAACAAGAGAAATATTTGGGTCATTAACGTTAACATTTTTGCTTTCGATTTATTGCAACTTACCAACAAATTAATAACATATCTGTTATGTTAACGCACGCACGCACGCTTTATTTACGATCATAATTTCTATTAAAAAATAATAGTTTTTCCTTGGTAAAATTCATGCACTAGAAGTTCAGCTTCCTTATACTTGGCAAAAATTACAGCAACATAGTTGTAATTTACCTTTTATATTTATTATATTTTCTTTTTACTTTGTTTACATTTTCCATGTTTTCCGCTAGCACATGGTGCTTGTCGTATTTGCATTGCTTTAGAATTTTGCAACAACCAATTTGCATTCACCGCGTGCTGTTTGTTCTCTTCTTCTCCCACCTCTAAGTGGAATTGCCTGCCTGCCATAAGTAGTACAAAGCTGTCAGGCAAACTTTCCTACATTGCATTGTGTTCTGGTATTGCAGTCCCACATACATACATAAATACCTAAATTTGCACAGATTATGCAAGACTTGTACTTTGCAAGATTTTATGTGGTGACACATTCACTGATGGTAAGCGCAATAACTTTTTTTCATTGCGAGCTGCAAGTCTTTAGGAAAAACCAGTCGACATGTCGGCGCTCAGCCCTTACTCTGTACCTCTAAGGACTTTTGGCCGCATTAAAATGATACTTATTTTTGTTTTATGTGAAAAAAATGACAGTAATTTTTGGCACTGACTTTTAAGTGCCCATCAGTGTCTATTGTGTTTGTAAAAAAGTTGGTTGGTTTTGCGAAAGTCTTGCAACGCTCTAAATGCTTATATAAATATGCTGTTCAGTTTTCT